CTTTAAATGATAACACTCATAATATTCTGTAATATTTTTCTTGTACATTATGGTTAAAACTATTCGGCGCAATAATTGTATTAAAGTTATACTGGTGTGGTATGATTACATTGTGCAGTGTGTTTATATGTAATGTAATGAAGTACATGATGGCTATCGGAAAGTTAAACAATTATTTACCTTAATTTTTACAAAAGGCATTTCGTGTCTGGCTCCATGATGACCACATATAGGTGTTCTCATTACAGCGCTGTGTTGTTGAAGCATATAGGTTGGGGTTTGAGTTAGTTATGTAGCGGTGTGCTCACTTACTATTCACCCAGCTCCCACACCTACTCACATTTTGGCTACAGCTGACATCAGTTGTGAGTAATATTTCAAGCGGTCAGTCACCCACATTTACCAGAGTGATGAAGTATGGTCAAACAACCCCTATGACCGAAAGGTGTGGGTGGCCTTCAACCAGCAGCGAATTGACAAGTTTATAAATTAACAAAATCACACTGGAGGGAGTACCCCGTCGTTGAGTGACAAACAGAATCAGAATCTGTATTTATACTGGAGGAATCCATTGAGCTATAAAACTATTTTTTTCCACAGATGTCCAGTCGGGGTGTGTCAGAATGTTACAACAACAAAATAATACAGGAACACGATAGGAGTGCAAAGCATAGGAAAGGTAAAGAAAACACTTAAAAATAATTATATACAAAGACCTTAATCTGTCCGTCTCTCAAAAACCTCCAGGGTACTTTCCGACAAGGTAGAAAGCTGATATTTGGTACATACGTAGCTTTTAGAACACAAACAACAGGAAATATTTGAAAATCCGAGATTTTTATTTAAGGCCCAAAAAATATCGATTTTAAGTTCCCCATGAACAAATGTGTGCGTGTCATTCAGAAACCGCTCAAAGTATAAGATTTTTCCTTTAATAGAGTGTTAAACAGCAAATAAAATTAAAGTGAGAACCATTCATCTATATTTTATTGTTTTTGACATTTCAGATTAAAGCGGTTTTGAATGAAAACCCCCCGCATTTTATGAAGTTAAAATCTGAATAATTCTAAAACGGTAAAATATGCGATTTTCTCATAGAGTATTAAGTTCATACATTTTTTTCTTTCTAATGAAGGAACAGACTCTTTAAATTGAGCGTTTTCCGATGGGTACGTCTTTAAATTTCACAAGTTGAATCAAGTCAACATTTTTGGGTTTTTTTTGCAACAACTAAATTTTGGAGTAGTTTGTCTGATCGCATATAAAAATGGTAACAAATCATATCTGGTAAATGATTATATTTATTTAAAACTTTTGCCTGGCGAAGACAGGCTTCATGAACTAGTATACAAATAAAATGTTATTTTTTTATCTGACCAGGTAAAGCCCAATGAGCTATTAACTTGTTTTTCAGAAGCGACCTGGCCAACAAACGGTAGCTCAACAAAGTGGCTTATCACGTGGAAATGTATAGCAGCTAAATAATAAAAAAGCGCATTTCTACCCCGCAGGCGTCCTCACCTCCTGGAGCCCCCCTCCAGCCCCCCCCCCCCCCCCGCGAGCACCTTTTGCCCCCCCCCCCGAGTGCACCTCCCCTGCACTCGCCCCCCCCCCCCCGCTGCCCCCCCCCATGCGTCACCACCCTTGCACTGGCCACACATTGGGTTTGACAGTGTGATGAGGGTTGTTTTCACGTGTTGTGTATTGTCGAGGGGGCCGCACGACAGGGGCCTTTAGTGCGGCCCCTGATGTGCGGCCTCCGACGAGACACAAATGTGAAAATACCCCCCCCCCCCATCATCGTGCTGCTGCCAAACCAAAAAGTTTCAAATGTGTGGCGGCCTTCACACTGATGATGTCTTATTGGCGAAAGTGCTTCCCGCCTCTGCAAAAGTTAACCCCACAAGGAAATTGAAATAGGCTTTTTTTCCATTTTATAAACTATATTTAAAGTTTTGTTTTGTAACACGTGTTACATATCATGTATTGGCAATCCATTCATATATATTTTCTTGAACGTAACATGTAATAAAGAACAAAACCCATTTAGGCGTAGTAATAGATAGGATTGACTCCCAACAAGTCATTTCTTTATGTTTTACCTCTCCCAGAGAATGAATTTCAGCGCCAACGACGAGCCAACAGATAATACCTCAGTACAGGGCAACGCTGACGCGGTGTACTCAGCACTGCCTTTAAAAATCATAAAGCTGTTGCCCCTGTCTGGATGTGAAGGAGCGGGGTCTGAAGCGGAAGGGACCGTATCTAAACAGGAAGATAGAGGCCTGTAGAGGAAGCCCAAATAAGTGACCTCCAATAAAAAAGAGGGCCCAAAAAAAACCACAAACCGGCGACTCACAAAACATGACAGCTACTTTAAAAAGACAAAAACCAATTCTGCATTGAGGAGTTCTACAACCATGTACTTCCCTATCGATTTAAGGAAATGAAAGCAGTGAATCACATTAAGTGCAGTGGGCAGGAAATGTGAATGCTATAGATGCGGCCACCGGTTAATTAGTCTGTTCAAAATTACGGCCACTATTGTTGACAGATGGAAATCTTGATTCACTCAGAGTACCTTTATAGTTTTCAAGGAAAAAGCTAAGGCTCATTCACAACGGAATGGCCAATACAGTGAATGTTTGATGGAGAAATCAGTGTACATCACTGTAATTTACATGTACAGCCATTTCTGTCAATCCACTGTCCACGTCGTGGGGATTTGACCATACTTCTCCATGTCGGCTCAGTGCGAATCAAAGACGTGGAGCCACTGACGGTGCACAGTGGAGAAAGGAAGTCCACATGAGCCAATGTTCAGTTCAGCGCTTTAATGGAACAATCCTCAACACTTCAATGCATGCTCTCGTGGGAAAATCCATCTCTCTCTTTCTCTCCAAGAGCCCTGAGCACACACGTCTCACCCCCTTACATGCCCTCTCCTCGATCTTTCTGCAATCTTGCAGCAGGCTCCTCTCCTTTCCTTTCCACCAACCCCGTCCCTTGGCTTCTTTCTACACGTCTCACTCTCTCTCCCCTGGTCCTTTCTCTTTCCCGACAAGTCTTTTCGTTTTTCCCCACGAGTCCTCAGCCAACCCCCTGGCTTTCCCCTGCCTAGCGGTTGTCACCCGAGCTGCCTTTCGTGAATGATCAAGCTACCAGTAAAGTGTGCCTGTGTGCCCTGGCACGACCCGTTACAGTAGCATGGATGTTGGTTGTCCAGTACTTAGGGGCCGTCCATAAATGACGTCACGCGATTTTGGACGATATTTGACCCCCCCGCCTTCGTCACGCGGCGTCACAAATGTCTGACCCCCCCCCCCCCCCCTAGGTGCGTGACGTCATTTATGGACGGCCCCTGATGCCTTCTTGTGAACGCCCAGCCGTGCAGCAGCCTATAACACTTGTTTTACGTACAGGATGGTCCCGATGTTTTGTGACTCTCCCCCCCACCCCCACCCCCACCCCAATTAACTATTGTTTTCCCTTTGTATATTAATTTTGTTTCACATACACCTTACTTTAAAAAAAAGTTTGAGAAACTGTAATTGGGTGGAGTTACAAGACATCTGGACCGCCACTGTGTGCCGTGCAAGGTCGCCCAGGGGTCAAACCCCCCGCTGTTGAGGTGACGGCGGCCGGGGGGACCATTGCGGCTTGGGTTTGGCCCACGGGCGGGTCACAAGCACCGAGCGAGACCCATTCAGTCGAACACCTTTGTTAACAACACCTTACTGTGCCTCACGTTATATATTATCATCATCATCATCACCACTGTGTGTGTGTGCGCGTGTGTGTGTGCGCGTGTGTGCTGGGGGCGGTTAGCGCTACGAACCCGGGCACACGAGTTGGATGCCCGCCGACGGCCAACACCCCCGGTGACGATGATCCGAATCGGTTCTGGGCCTCCCCTAGGTCGATTCAGCCTCAAAACGTGTGGTGTGGCGGTGTCGCAGCGGTATAAACACCGCTATCACTGGGGGAGACAAAGGCGGCCGGGCGTGGTGGTGGTGGTGCTGGCCACTCGCCCCCCTCTTCGTGTGCCAACAGAGGCGGCCTTCATAGGTGGCGGTGCTGCTCGCTAACAACAGAACCTGCTTACAGCAGTGATTCACCTTATACGGGGGGGGGGGGGGGGGGGGGGGGATACGCCTTTGTGGTTGTCTTTTTATGGCAATGACGTCTTTTCTCTTTGCGTGGCCTTGAAACTGCACGGTTAAAAATGTTTTTTAAAAAGTCACCGATCAACAAACTCGAAGGCAAAGCCATGGGGGGGGAGGAGGAAGCGGGGATTTCCAAACGAGCAGGAGAGAAAACCCCCTCCAAACCAAAATAATAATCAGCGGCACGACGAAATAGCATCCGAAGGAGAAGAATCGAATCTCTCTCGTTACCTCCATCTGCATCGTGAGTTTTCTGGTTTGGAGTGTGGGACGGCTTGCTGGTGAGTGGTGGTGGGTGGCTGGTGAGTGGTGGTGGGTGGTGGTGGTGAGTGGTGGTGAGTGGTGGTGGGTGGCTGGTGAGTGGTGGTGGGTGGCTGGTGAGTGGGGGTGATTGGTGGGTGGTGGTGAGTAGTGGGTGATGGTGGTGGTGGGTGCTGAGTGGTTGGTGGTGAGTGGCGAGTGGTGGTGAGTGATGCTGAGTGGTGGGTGATGCTGGTGAGTGATGGTGGTGGGTGCTGAGTGGTTGGTGGTGAGTGATGCTGAGTGGTGGTGAGTGATGCTGGTGGGTGCTGAGTGGTTGGTGGTGAGTGGCGGTGAGTGATGCTGAGTGGTGAGTGATGCTGGTGGGTGCTGAGTAGTTGGTGGTGAGTGATGCTGAGTGGTGAGTGATGCTGGTGGGTGCTGAGTGGTTGGGGGTGAGTGGCGAGTGGTGGTGAGTGATGCTGAGTGGCGGTGAGTGATGCTGGTGAGTGATGCTGGTGGGTGCTGAGTGGTTGGTGGTGAGTAGCAGCTGGTGGTGATTGGTAGGTTGGGAACGACAACCACGAACCTCACCCACCCCCTCCCTTCCCTCCATCGATTCGCACACACGCCGGGTTACGAGTGTTGGTGTTGATATTCGACGTGCGAACAACAGCTTACACGTGGCGCCGAGTCAGCTCGCCGACTACCCTCATAACAACTTTGCTTCTTCCACTTCTTCTCCCCCTGATAACTTCAACAACTTCTGCTGCTGCTGCTGCTTCCACTTCTAACCTCTCCGTCGGCGCAATCGTCAACGCACGGCAAAAAACCAAAAAGGTCTCCGCCTCCTGGAGCGGGCTGGGTACTTCAACGAGAACAGCCGAGGAGGAGGAGGAGGAGGCGGCGGCGGCTTCTTCATCATAAGGTGCACAGGTGAAGGACGAAGAAGGCTCTCGTCCCAGGTGAGCAGAAGTTTAAAAGGATCGCCGCACAGGTCGTGTTAGAAAAAAATATATATAAGAGTCGCAGCGTTTGCCAAACGAGTGTGAACGTCGTTCCCTCTCGACCACCCCATTGTGCTTGTTGTGCTTCCGCGGTGTAAATGTTTTGCTTTTCGCTGTTGTCACTGGGAGAAGTTTAAGGATGCGAGTTCTGGGGAAAGTTAACACCACAACACACGCGCGCGTGTGTGTGTTTTGTGTGTTCACGCGAGAGGGTGTTTTTTTAATTCTAAACCTTTTGGCTTGTGTTGTGTTGTACATCAGAGTTTGCGAGTGCGTGTGGTCAGGGGTGTTCCTAACTAACCCCTGGCTCTTCTCTAGCCCGCTGCCGTGTTTGTCGGCAGGGTTGTTGCCACAGGAGAGAGTGCTGTGTGGGTGTGTGGGTGGTGGGTGCCTTGTGTTTCGGAATGTGCGTGCGTGATTAAATGTGTGGGCACGCCAGTATCAGCGTGCCGTAGGCACTGTACGCCGTTTAAGTTTGTGTGCTTTAGTCGGGGGGTGGGGATGAAATAAAATCTCAACTCTTAAAGTGTACGGAGGATGTTGTGCGGATCATTAAAGTGAACCGGGTACGTGGTGACGCTTTCGCTTTGCTCATCGGAGAGATGGGCGACTGCTTTGGGAGAATAAAAAAAATAAAAAAATCCTCGTCCAGCAGTGAATAGATCATGGTTGATGATGCAGAAGGATGCATTTGAACTGGACAGCAACTCTGCACCGTGGTGTAAATGACAAGAGGACGCGCCCGTCGGAACGTAAAAAAACCGTGCAACTTTTGTGCATGCTTCGCACACCTTTCTGCGACGTTAAATGTATTTTATTTTTGTGTGGTTTTTTTGGACGGCGAGGATCCCATTGCGCCATTCGTAGACCCAACTGTGTGCCGCCATCGTGGGCCCAAACTTTTGCAAATTCGAAGAATTACTCAATTCGGATGTCACGCGAGCAAACAAATTCGAAAAATTACTCAATGAGGATGTCACAGGGCAATAATCGCCCTCTTACAACTGCCAGGCTACTTAATGCCCCACTGGCAGGCAAGGTGCTGCGTCACCACGTACCACAAAGGGATAGCTGTCTCTGCGGATGCCCTTAAATGTTCCCAAATTATGTTGATGTCAGGTTCTCTGAGGCTCTGATGCGTTTAAGCGTCATATAAATGCTAATATCATTACAAAACCTTTATTAGGAATCATTACAGTACGATGTAATTAATATGACCGTGCAGCAGCTGCCGGATCTGGCAGAGGGATATAAAGCATTTGTCATGCTGAGGTGACCGTAGATTTGGTCATGATGCCATCGTACTGGAACGGTGTTCTGTGGTGGTTTTAGGGGAATTCTTGTGCACACCCACCCCACACATTGCAGGATTGGTAGATGACCCCGTTGTGAGTGTAATATCAGCAGTAATTTAAGCATATTGAGCTGAATCTCGGCTGCTGTTGATGCCGATTTCATGAGAAACTATAATTACCACTTGGTTTTAGTGATAAGACCATGCGCACATGTACATTCTGATTTAAAAACATACTTCACGCTATGGTCAGACCACATACTTCACGCTATGGTCCAATGCGGGTTGGTGAAGGCGGTGGGGGGCTGAGACACAGAGGCGTAGAAGTGCAGAACAACAATTCGTTTCTGCTGAACTGCCCTCTGCTGCCCACAACGTGGCCCCGAAAACATCGGGGAAAGCATATTTAACCGTGCAGTATTATTTCGGACCTCGAAGCAACAAATGTCACATTTTCTGATTATCTAGATTGTTTATAGAAAGTACTGAAAGTGGCAAAGGTCGGGCCCTACAATTACTTGCTCACGCCCCTAATGGTGGAAGGGCCTCTTCGAGTGGCAGCTCCAGATGGTTATTTTGGCCAACTCTCCCACACTCACCAGACATTTTGGAAGAGGTAGGAGTATCCCACACATTACCTTATCACATTTAACCTGTCGATTGACTAACTGCTGTACCGATTTATATACTGCTGAATGGGCAGTATATAAATCGATCTATCCATTGGACATCCAGTGTTATAACCATTCCACCGCGCCAGTGTTCACATAAAAGTACTGAACTTTTATGGTCTATACAATGCAGAACGCACGGTTCATGGTCAAACTCAGTGCTTTGAGGGTCAGCCATACAGCAAACTAGTTTGTAACATATCTGGAGCATATGTAGAGAACAAACAGTTGAACGAACGCAAAATTATTCAAAGATCAATTGAAATTCAAGTGCGGTTGTTTTGGGTTGGGCTGTGCATTGAGCATTTATTCTTTCAAGCTTTCGCCATGCACTGCTATGGGCATATTCAGCTCTAAGGTTTGGGTTGCGCTGGAGCCAGTAGTAAAAGTAGTAGGAGCTGGAGCAAAAAATGGAGCGGCCATACACCGTCACAATGATAATAATTTGTTTTTTGATATGACATCCTTTATGCCAAGGCATAGTGCGTTTTGCATCATATCTCATCTCAAAAATTGAAAAGGGCACCCTGAGTGGCAGCTGCCTGTGTAGGTATAAGGTGGCTCAGCTTCTGGACTTTCAGTAGGGGCAATTATGCTATGTATAAGCCCAATTGAGTAATTTGCGGGCGAATTGGACCCTGATGTCCGCACAGAATGGCTTACTCTTGCAAATTATGTCAGGGGATCCTTTAACTTCCACTCTAAAGCAGACAATGGATATTATGGTTATTACACCCACAGTAGTAATCGGGGCGGCGCTGGATTCATACCTTGCACCTCTAAAATAGGTGACAAGTGTGCTATCGGCGAGGCCGTGTCACTGCCCCTCCATGACTCCGGAAATCTCTGTTCAATTCCCAGCCACAGATAACATCAGTGGGGAGTGATATCCGAACCTGTCTTACGAGCCCCTCCTTTACCAACCTATACAGAGCAATGTGTAGAAGTATGGCCAAACAACCATCATTACCGACATGACCCTGGGGAGGTCTTTATCCAGCAGTAGATTGACAAGGAGCTGAAAATTATTACTGTATATCCTAAGATTATTTTATGCATAGGGGTGAGATGGATTGTGGCATCACAGGACCTTGAGGGATGGTGACAGCATGGAGATCCCTTCATTCAGCAGTGGATGAGACTTTTCCTCATGGTGATTAGTGAGATAAGTTACACCATTGAGATTACGTCAGTAAAATAATTACACGTCAAGTATTTTGTGGTACTGTGTTTCTTCTCTTGTGGGGGTGTTTGTAAAGTCATGGCTGTGTGTCACATCGTTTCCCATGCGGATCAACGATTTTAAGCATGTGCTGTTCATCACACAGGTGCAATACTGATTGTTTTCAAAATCTGGACAAAGGCCTCCTCAGGCTATTTTGGTCATGAAAGTTTTGTTCAAAACTGTACCATGTTGGTCAGTGTGGGTTCGGCGGTAAGGCAGATGCGCCAAACCAGCTCAGATATTGATCTTTTTTGTTGTAAATTTTATGTATTTAAGGTTTCAAAAAAGTACATCTGAAGCATGTACACAGTCGGGGAATGGCAAAGACATTGATGCATAAAGGTAATAATTAACAAGAACATGCAATGCATGCCCTGTGAAGTACAGAGTAAACAATGAAAAACTCACCTCTGATATTAACTTTTGCCCGGAATCTATAACTGGCATAATAATCTCGTTTAGAACGCGCCTTTAATATTTTAATATATCTAAAAGAGCTGTACCTAAAAATAAAAACTACACTCGCAAGTATAAATAACATCTAACCAAAATAGAAAGCTGATAATAACTTTCAATGACAACTACACTTGAAATGCAGATAAAATGAAGAGCAAACTATGTTAAAAGCTAAATAATCCAATCAGACAACAGGACAAAAAAGTACATAAAAATTGGTTTTCAAATCTTAAGTTACGGGGAAACTCTCTAGAAATAAGTGAGCTTTAAGACGTGATTTAAAAAGTGAAATGGACTCATAATCCATAATGGGCCAAGGAAGGGGATTCCACTATCGCGGAGCCTGGCTGCAGAAGGCTCCATCTCTCATACAACATAGTCTTGCCTTAGGAATGTTGAATAGACCAGAGGTAGCAGATGTAAGTTTTCGCAGTTGTATAGAAAACTTGAGCAGATCGGCGAGATATTTAGGAGCCAACTCATTCAAGGCCTTAAACGTGAGAAGAAGAATTCACTACTTTACAGGGAGCCAGTGCATGGACAAAAGAATAGGAGTGATTTGGCCATATGATTTAGATCTGACGTAGTCTGATTAATAACATAGTGTGTAAACCAATGCACCATCGCCCCACCCCACCACAGCTAATAGTTAACATGTGCTTTACCTGTAATTGCATTTTTAAAATATATAATTGCAGTACAGTACACATATTGTAGCATGGCATTGTGTTTTACCTGTGTGTACTGATTCACTTCTGGACTTTTGAACCAGTTGATGCAAATGGCCATTTATCCTAACTGTAAATTTCCTATGTGTGTTCCAGGGAATTGATGCCCAGATACAGAAACGTGCAGCCAGATGGATTGGCATTTCACCCATGATGTGCCTTACAAAAAGAGAAAATGTTTTCGTGATCCAAATTTAAGTGGCGATTCATTTGAAGACAATGTACGGAATGATAATGTATCACAATACAGTACAGTACATGCATTGGTAACTATTCAGATTGAGGAGGGTGGTAAATCAAAAAAGTTTTACATCTGCCTTAGGGGAAGTATAGAGTATTTATTACAGTGTAAATGGGCTTTGCATTCACTGCTGATATAGTACTGCTAAAACTTACATTATAAAATAAATACATTCAACTATGGTTTTGTAATTTTTATTTACTAGTTTTCGAGGTCATGGAGGCATAAGTAACTTGAAATATGTCGTATTTTTTAAAGTAATAATTTACTGCAGTTTTAATTCTGGCAAAGCCTTCTGTTTAAAAATCGCTGGTATCCTTGGAATAGTAGCACATATTTTACGCTTGCCTGACAGAATTATATTGCCACGTGCAAGTATTTCTATTTATTCATTCAGAATTTCACTAAAGGTATTGTGGGTTAGTTGAGGTACATATTTTACTATTGCAGCAATGTGTAAACACCACAATATGGCACATGATATATTTCGAGCAGAAATGATTTGCAATGTTTTATAATGCTTTGTTTTGGTGTTGGCTAATCATATGAAAAAGAGGCTTTGTTGATGAGCAGAGTGAATGTTATTAAACGTTCCTGTTCTGTTTTACAGCAAAGGCAGCAGACCTTTGCACAGGATTTTCAAGGCCATCAAGGTTTGTATATCAACTCCGTTACTCTTGAGATGGTAAAATACCTTAAAGCTACTGCCACATTGAGGAGTTCACTCAAGAAAGCTATTATACATGTAACAATTGATTCGCCCCCAACATGATTCGTGACTTGTTGCAATTTGGGATCACAATTCAAAAATCGATTATTTGTATCTCGTCTGTACATTATTCTTTTCTCATGCCTGTCTTATACTGTTCTAGCTTTACTATCCGGCTTCGCCCGGGACTTGGACTCTTGTCTTGGATTAATACACGGCCAACGCTGAGGGTTGGGGGGGGGGGGATGCGTGACGTCAGCAGGCACACTGCGTAACGCTGCCGCATGCGGGTGACATCACAGATGTGACGTCACCGCTCGCGGGAAGTATGCTAAACATTTCGAACAGACACACTTTTAAATATATAGAGAAGATGTATCTGCCTTTTTATGTATGTGCTACATTGCACAAATACCATTTTGGATAAAATGTAAATACAATTGGAAGCAAAAACATTCTTACAATTTATCCCTGCATATGAATAAATGCACCATTGCACATTCAATTTATACCACATAGCTGTTTCGTAAATGTGGTCAAATGTTTTCACATGTATTCAAGGATGGCTGTTGTACATTCTCTCTGCCCAAATTGACAGAAGAGCTATTCGCTGTGCTCTGCGGTGTGGATGACATTGGAGATGATATTCTGAAGGAATACGCAGAAAACATTGCTCAGGAGGAAGTTAATGTCTACCCCCTAACCAAAACCAAAAGATGGCTGGACTGCAGCCAGGAGGGTAAGGATTGCTTACCATCACGGCACTGAGTAATATATCACTTATCTATGTGGCAGGGTTTTCATTGAGTAATAAGACATGGTTCAGCCTCAATTGACAACAATATCTCACAGATGTTCCAACACAAGCCAACTGATCAGTACTCCCTAGTTTTTGATGTGGTGTCAGTGGTTGCTATACTTGTTTTCTTGAAATTGTAAATATGGTGATGCAGCGCAATGCATTTAATTTTATTTGCCAAAATAACACATTGGTTCATCTTTCACAGCTATCCAGAGGCTCCGAGTAAATGGAAAACTTGACATAAAAGGCAAGGAGATGAAGGTTTGGATCTGTACGCAATCCGAGATGGATGTTGTTGTTGACAGGCGGAGGTTGGTCTTGAATGGATTAGCAGGGGACACTCCCAAAGACATGGTCATATTATATGTGGAAGCCATATCAGGCTTCTTGTCGGATGACTTTAATATCGAATACTTCAGTGATGCGGAAATGGCTGTGGTGACCTTCCAAACCCCAATTGGTGAGTTAGTAATTGCATTGATTGTAGAATTGCAGCACAACTCTTAATATTCCATAATATATGCTCTGTATTACGCCTGCCTCCATAATAATGTGGATCTTCCTGTTATGTGTGTGGTTCTCCATTCTTGTCCATGCTTATGATGGGCGCAAATTTATCTAATCTTCTGTGCCTCTGGTGGCAGTCATGGTGGTCATCATAGTGTTACTAGCAGTGGTGTTACCAGTGACAGATCACGTGGTCTCAGTAGTTGTGGCAGTCCCAGTTGTATCTGTGGCTGTGATGGTTCAAATTGTCTCAGTGGTGGCCCTGGTGTCGATGGTCAAATTGGTCTTGGAAGTCCCAGTGGAACTGTTGGTGTAATCTCAGTAAGCCCATCAGTTCTGGCAGGTTGACGATGATGACAATGATGATGCTTGGCCAGCAGTGACATTCATCTCCATTCGGAAGTTGGCGCTGCACACCCAGAAGGTGGAATCAAATTTATCCTATCTGCATTATTCTGTGCTTTGTGTGGATAAGAGGAGCAAATGCACAAAGCAAGGATATTAGGATCTACTGATACTGCCCCCTACATCAGTGAAAATATGAGTTTCACTGTGTATTTTACTATTATAATGCTTACACTTATAAGAGGCTGTATGCTGTATGATAACTAAAGTAGCTGTGTAGCTTCTGATGGTGACTTTTGGAAAGATAACTTTTGCAAATAGAACGTATGTATTCAATACTGTGTTTAATGTTATGTAAATTCAGTGTTATATGCTGGAGGCTACATTATGCGCCTCAGATCGCCGTGCTGCAAAGCCATTGTTCTGTACTTCTGTTCCACTACAGTGAGGGAAAAAAGTATTTGATCACCTGCTGATTTTGTACGTTTGCCCACTGACAAAGAAATTATCAGTCTACAATTTTAATGGTAGGTTTATTTGAACAGTGAGAGGCAGAATAACAACAACAAAAATCCAGAAAAACGCATGTCAAAAATGTTATAAATTGATTTGCATTTTAATGAGGGAAATAATTATTTGACCCCTCTGAAAAACATGACTTAGTACTTGGTGGCAAAACCCTTGTTGGCAATCACAGAGGTCAGACGTTTCTTGTAGTTGGCCACCAGGTTTGCACACATCTCAGGAGGGATTTTGTCCCACTCCTCTTTGCAGATCTTCTCCAAGGCGTTAAGGTTTCGAGGCTGACGTTTGGCAACTCGAACCTTCAGCTCCCTCCACAGATTTTCTATGGGATTAAGGTCTGGAGACTGGCTAGGCCACTCCAGGACCTTAATGTGCTTCTTCTTGAGCCACTCCTTTGTTGCCTTGGCCGTGTGTTTTGGGTCATTGTCATGCTGGAATACCCATCCACGACCAATTTTAAATGCCCTGGCTGAGGGAAGGAGGTTCTCACCCAATATTTGACGGTACATGGCCCTGTCCATCGTCCCTTTGATGCGGTGAAGTTGTCCTGTCCCCTTAGCAGAAAAACACAGCCAAAGCATAATGTTTCCACCTCCATGTGTGATGGTGGGGATGGTGTTCTTGGGGTCATAGGCAGCATTCCTCCTCCAAACATGGCGAGTTGAGTTGATGCCAATGAGCTCCATTTTGGTCTCATCTGACCACAACACTTTCACCCAGTTGTCCTCTGAATCAGATGTTCATTGGCAAACTTCAGACGGGCATGTATATGTGCTTTCTTGAGCAGGGGCACCTTGCGGGCGCTGCAGAATTTCAGTCCTTCATGGCGTAGTGTGTTACCAATTGTTTTCTTGGAGACTATGGTCCCAGCTGCCTTGAGATCATTGACAATAGCTTCCCGTGTAGTTCTGGACTGATTCCTCACCGTTCTCATGATCATTGCAACTCCACGAGGTGAGATCTTGCATGGAGCCCCAGGCCGAGGGAGATTGACAGTTATTTTGTGTTTCTTCCATTTGCGAATAATCGCACCAACTGTTGTCACCTTCTCACCAAGCTGCTTGGCAATGGTCTTGTAGCCCATTCCAGCCTTGTGTATGTCTACAATCTTGTCCCTGACATCCTTGGAGAGCTCTTTGGTCTTGGCCATGGTGGAGAGTTTGGAATCTGATTGATTGATTGCTTCTGTGGACAGGTGTCTTTTATACAGGTAACAAGCTGAGATTAGGAGCACTCCCTTTAAGAGTGTGCTCCTAATCTCAGCTCCAACCTGCACCGATCACTTTGGTGATATATAAAATAGATAAACAGAAAATTACTCATTCACATATCTATTTCCACGAGTGGCTCATTGAACCATCAGGTCTCTTTTTTTTATTAGGACATCCAAAAAAGGTAGCTTGCCATCTTTTTCGACTTCCATGGTAAATCTGATGGCTGGGTGTATGGAATTGATGTGGTTGAAGAATTGGTGTAGAGCAGGCCGGCCATGTGGCCAGATGACAAAAGTGTCATCCACGTACCTCTTCCATAAGGTTGGGCGCAGAGTGGCAGTCTGGATGGCGTCAGTCTCAAATTTCTCCATGAAAATGTTGGCTATAACCGGAGATAGGGGGGAGCCCATTGGGGTGCCCTCAGTTTGTTTGTAGAAAGTTCCATTCCAAGTGAAGTATGTATTGGTTAAACAGTGTCTCACCAGGGGGGGTACCTCAGTGTTTAGTCCTTGATGAACCAAGTCTTCAAGATGGCAAGTTACCTTTTTTGGATGTCCTAATAAAAAATAGACCTGATGGTTCAATGAGCCACTCTGTCTACAGGAAAGCTACCCATACGGATGCTTATCTGAAACCGGATTCCCACCACCATCCATCACAGAAGAAGTCTCTCATCAAGACTCTGCACCATAGAGCCCAATGCATATCCAACCAGGAACACATAGGCAGTGAACTCAAGCTCTTAAGGCTAATGGTTACTCCGACTACACAATCCGCAAAGCTATCACTCAAACCATGAAGAAGGACCCTCTTGAGGAGCCTTTCTAAACCATCACTTTACCCTGCATTGCGGGGATCACAAAAAAGATCTCCAAAATCTTGAATAAACACAAGATCCAGGTCCGTTTCAACACATTACATAAAATCCGTGATCTGGTTCCATCTGTAAAAGATGTGATTCCGGACATACAGTACCCTGGTGTCTACAAACCAAGTTGCCTCTGTGGTAGTAGTTACATTGGAGAAACCAAACGACATGTCTCGGACCGCATTCGTGAACACAAAGCAGACCTTAAACACGGTAGGACCAACACATCGGCCGTGGCAGATCACTGTTATAATTCAGTAGGCTCACATGACAAAGACAGATGTTCTTTGCAAGCCATCTGGCTACCATGAGAGATTCGTTCATGAGGCTATCCACATATACAAACACAGAGACAATTTCAACCGAGAAGATGGATTCTGGCTTAGCAATCATTGGAATGATTTGATAAACCATTTCGGGTCTTGATTGTTCACGCTTACGGTGGCTTTCAGACAGCATACATGAATTTTTTCGTCTCCCCCCTCCTCTTTTCCGAACATAGATGGACTTGTCCATCTAAATAAACTTTCAAATCGCTATCCGTGGTGCTAACGTTTAAAAATAAATAAATACCGCCACTTCTTTCAAATGTTCTTGCCGTTGGTTTTCACACCTGATGATGACTGCTTGTGTTGCAGTCGAATGTCGTGAGAATTTTGTTTTATATATATTATTATTTTATTGTTTCCCTTCAACGTGACTTTACCGAAAGAACCAAGAATATATATTATAATGCTGTTGGCCCAATGGGTTGTGTATAAAGTAGTTTTGTTTTGCATGTGGAAAGACGTATATGACCACCCACTCCTTGTGCCGTGCTTGATAGGTACTCGCTAACAGCACTTACCCCAACAGTCTGTTAAGGATATATGGGGGGAACTTTGTCTTTGTACAGTGCCTTGTGACCTAGGTGAAAGGTGCTTGAGAAATTATACAAATGTACGATTTTATGCAGTAAATTACACCGTTATAAAAATGTGAAATTGTTTCAATTCACAATTTCCACATGGTGTAGGCCTCATGATTTGGAATTACAAGCCCACCACTGGTACAGCTGTTTTGCAAAACATGTGTTTCCAGACTTTAGATGCTTGTTTGAGAAGAGATCAAGAAAAAAAATACTCAACAAGAGAGAGATCAAAGCCAGGCTGCTGGAAGTGACAAACTGTGTGCTGGTGGAGGGGGTGGCACTGAACCTCATTGAAGATCTCCATTTGTACTTCGAGAACAAAATACGGAGTGGCGGAGGGGAGCTCTCTAACGTTATTATCAAAGAGGATGAAAGAAATGTCTACCTTTACTTCAAAGACTTGGCAGGTAATGACGTTAGGCATTTTAAAACACAAGTGCTTGCAATATATGGCAGTCAGAGATTGTTGGTGGGATCAAGAACTGTATTATAGATCCAGCATCACAGGACTATAACTGGTATAGGTTTCCCTGAAATTGTGGATTATGTTCAACACACAGGCTTTCGCGACCAATATTATTCATAATAAAGGTTTTTGGGTTAGATCGCGTTATTTATAAATGTGTCGTAACCCTCCACCACCCGACATGGCCAAACAGTAAAAAATGTGTCACGTTTACAAAGGACAAATAGTTCACTACTTTAGCCCACCGGTGTCTTGAAGAGTGAATCAACATCATTTAAAATTTGAGTACGACGTTTCGCTGGCATTCACATCCAGCAGTAAAATGATGACGTCACCCTGCTGCTCTATTTAAGACTGGGAGCAAGTGAGGGCTTTACCATTCTGGCGAACTGCCCGATGATGCTGGATGTAATTGCCAGCGAAACGTCGTACTCAAATTTTAAATGATGTTGATTCACTCTTCAACACACCGGTGGGCTAAAGTAGTGAACTCTTTGTCCTTTGTAAACGTGACACATTTTTTTACTGTTTGGCCATGTCGGGTAGTGGAGGGTTATGGCACATTTATAAATAACGCGATCTAACCCAAAAACCTTTATTATGAATATGTGGATTCTGTTTGTGCGATTTTACATTTAAGCGGCTTACCTATTTATCCACAATTTGCTTCATGCGGTTTGAATCTACTCGTATGCGGCTATACGGTCGGATGTGGAACAACATTGTGTGTCCTGTACGCTCTACTTGGCAGGCAGCTGTTTAGTGCGGTGTATTGTGGGTTGCGTGATTGTGCGGTCCATGCTACGCGATTTCGCTTTGTGCACTTTCTTTGGAACGCATCTACTGCATAAAGCGAGGAAAACCTCGCTTTATGCAGTAGAGTAAGACTTCTCCACAAATCTGGCTGTCGCCTGATGAAGCTAGTTGTAATTACTGGCGAAACTTCGTACTAAGATTAAATGTTGTGGCTTGGCTCTCCAACACACCAGTGTGCTGTGCTCGTGACGAATTGGCATGTTCTGTTTACGTGACAACCCTTACTAGTTGGCTGTGTCGGGTGGTGGTGGGTTTTAACGACACATATTTATGCGATCTAACCCAAAAACCTCTTATGGATGATATTGGTCGTGAAAGCCTACGTGTTAAACTAAAAACTTGTTGAGGTATATTTTAATCTTAATCGTAGCTGGTTGGTGGGGGTTGCACGTTCCCATGCTCATTAGAAGTTCAGCCCATCATCTATTTGGGGTTGATGAAACTACTATATATAGAATATTGGTCATCTTATGAATAGGCTGGTTCCGTCTTGGAATTTGTAATTTCCACATCTAGCTCTGAGGCACCAATGGCGATCAGCATTAGACCTGGACCAGTGCTTATTGGGTTCGTTGACTTTGAATACCTTAATCGTAAGATTGATTTGCAAAAGACATTTTTTCCATGAGCACATTATACCAGTCTTCTTATCTCTTCATTGGCTACCAGTCAAATTCCGATTGGATTTGAAGATACTGCTATTAACCTTATAAGGCTTTAAAAGGGCTCGCCCCACATTACTTTCAGGACCTAATACGTTTATATATTCTATCAAGGTCCTTAAGATATTCTGACCTCCAGCTGCTCGGCACTCCCAGGTCTAGGTTATGCTCTTTTGGTCATCGGACTTTTGTTAGCGTGGCACCCAAGCTTGAAATCAGGCAGAGTCGGCCGATATTTCGGTCTGCTTTGGAAGCCCATCTTTTTAAACCGACCTTCAACCTTTAGTTTGATTAATTGCCCTGGTTTTGTTTTTGTTTCCTACTTTGGAATCCTATGATGGAATGCGCATTATAAACGTGATTTTAAAAAAAAAATCTAGGTAGATTCACACATTGCTTTGATTAATTTAGAGGTAAAGCATGTGAAATTAACTTTAATTACAAAAGACATGTTTTTTATTTAAAATAAATAAATCATTACCTTCGTTGCGAATATTAACTTGTATTAGTACTGTTTACATTTTAACTGTCCCTTAATGATAGTTTTTTATTTCATAGCTTTGCATTTTTACATTTCTTTATTTACTAAGTTAGTACTTGTCATATTATTGCAATTATCACACATTGCAATTTGAAGTACAGTACATTTGTCATGTTTACTCTTCACGTTAATAATTTGAAGATAGGACTATGCAAGTTATTTGCATTGTGTGTAGATTTATATTTATACTACCCCATCGCCCTGTTGCAATGCATTTTTGTGGTTATTGTAACTTTCTGACCCGCCCTTGCTGGACATCTGTGAAAAAGAGCTTCATAGCTCATCGGATTTCTCCAGGATAACTATTCTGATTCCGACCGGCTGAAACCTTTGTTGAAACAACCTTTTATGCTCTTTTTTTTAGTTGTTGAAGAAATTGTGTCAAGGCAACACAATCTGTGCACAACGGAACTGAAAGTCGTTGCCTATTATGATGAAATATGTTCTGCCCTTGGAAAACAAGATCAACTATCAGAGGACCCTGAACCATTTTACATACCAGTTGATATCATGGTTATGCAGTATATTTTAAACAGTTGTTTTGCATTGAAAGAACTGACATCCATTCTAGAACAGGCAGATGCTTCCTTTTCTCATGGTGAAGGGTCAAATGGCAACATTACCTTTAAACCCATTTTAGACAAGGGCGCAGTAAATTATCAAAGCCTTGCTAAAAAGTGGCAGCAAACAACAGAGACATGTTTTCGAAAATTCTATGAACAGTATTCTAAGAATGATTTGCCTTGTGCTAAAGCTGCATGGGAAAGAGTTAAACAAGAAGTCTCAATGCCTGATCATGTGCTGGTTGGTTATGACTGTCAACAAGCACAGATCTTTGTTACTGGGAGAAATCAGGATGTGCAAGATGTATGTAAACAGCTGAAGCCCTTTGTAAAGAATGCTGAGGATAACCTCTCTCAGGAAAGTCGGATCATCAGTGATTGCATATCACTAGAAAGCCCAGATAACTATAATTTAATGCAGTTCCTGAACATTGAAGATTTTTGCGCTAAATTGAATCATTTGCATTTACAATTTGATGAAGGCTTCAGTTCCATAACAGTTACGGGCATGTCAAAAGATTGTCAAATAATTGCAGAAGAAATACACAATCTTCTAATGAGCATATCAATAAAACATTTGGTTATTTCTGATCATGTTCTAAAAATGTTTGCGGTACCAGGTGTCGTGAAAACATTGAATACGCAGTTTCAAAAAAGCTCAATATATGCCATTGTAGAATTAAAAAGTGGTCAAATGAATGACACATTCACTTTGATATCCATTGCTGGACATGCAGAAAAAGCGGAGTCTTGCATAAATGAAACATTCACGGAAGAGTTGTTTTGTGTTCCAAAGGCACAAAGGGACTCAACCAGAACAAAAGAATGGACAATTCTATTGACTGATCTTGAAAAACGCAGGGGTGATGAATGTCAACAAATAATTCTTCGAACATTTGAAGACCAATATGGTTCCTGCACCGAAGTTGTCATTGCAGGTTTTACCCCTGCTGTGAAAGATGCCTATGGCAGAATGCAAGTATTTTGTAGAGACAACTGTACCGTTACAAAATTCATGGTAATGCCAAAGTATCAACTGGAGTTTTTGGAGAAACATGAGCTCATACTGCATGACACTAAACTTTTGGGTAAAAATATCACAGTAGAGTATGAACCTGTTTCAGGTTTTCAGATAGTTGGACAATCTAGCATTGTAAATGAGATTGAAACGTTTATCTGTGAAAAGGGATTCAAGCTTTGCTCAAATCTGCTCAGGATTAATACGCCAGGAGCTGCCAAATATTTACGTGAAAATGAGGACTTTGCCAAAAGTAAAGTGTCAAAAGATAAAGGTTGCATGGTTTTCATTGAGATTGGGGCTGCTCAGTATCCATTTTTGCAGCTGAAGTGTCAGGAGGATTTACCAGGAGGCCACACCATCTCGATCTACAAAGGGGACATTTTTAAAACGCCGGTAGATGTGGTTGTGAATACAGCCACAGAAAAACTGCAAATTTTGACAGATGGAACCTTTGGAAAAACCCTTTTAGAAATCGGAGGTTCAGACATACAGATGGAATGCAATGACCTCGTTCATGAAAGTGGAGAGCTAAAGCCTGCAGAAGTAGTAATGACGAGCCCAGGAAAGCTCCCATGCCAGAATATTGCTCACATCATCTGTGGATATTTAAAGAAAAATTCATGGAATACATGTATAGATATTTCCAAAATGAAACTGGTAAAGGAGGGGATTCAGAACGTTTTGATGACAGCAGGGACAATTGGGCACCGGAGTGTAGCAATACCAGGTCTTTTGTTTGAGCGGTATAGGTATCCTTTGGACATTTACACTGCAACACTCATTGATGCTGTCGAGTCTTTCTGTAAAGAAGAAGACAATGCTGATAATTCCCTGACCGACATCCTCTTTATCGATGTCGATGACAGTGTACTCGATGCTCTTGCAAATGCTCTCCTGTGTAAGGTCGGGAAAATTCCAGTTACAGATGAGCCAGATAGAGTTGTGGATTTATTGGTCCAGAATGAAAATGCATTCTTACATCCAGGCTGTCCTCAAACCCAGAGTTCAGCAACAACAGTCACCAGTCCAAGCTGCATAACTACAAATGAAGGACTCAACATCTCCTTGGTTATTGGCAGTATTGAAGAAGAAAATGTAAGTCTGGTGAAATGTACAGTAATACAAATTATTGCATTGTGATCTATACAATGTTTGTAAATCTCGGTGGCATTGTCACATAATGTAGTCTGTCATAATTGCAATACACGTACTGCAGTAAAACACCTCGCATAATACTGTACTCTCGTAAGTATTTTATACTCTATGAATAGCACGAGAAAAGTATGTTTTGCGATTCATTGTTATCTGCATACTTTTCAATAGATCTGACAACTTCAGGAAAGCTTTTGGATTAATTGAGTGCTGTATTTTCCCAGTGTAAGTTGTGGGTGTAGAATTTGATATTGTATTTAGTGGAAAATTTGCTCAAGGCACAAGCATGATAAAACAGTCCTATTATTTTGCAATACAGTGTATCATAAACGTGGTTTTAACATACTTAGGGTTGTCGTCCAGGGGTGAGCTGAGTATATGGTGTGCAGTGATTTATGGCCCATTACATTGGGTCTTTTTTCAGCATTCTGGTCACATGGATAAAAACTTAGTGACATCCGTTTTGCCGAGATGATGCTATTGTATTTAAGGTAACATGAAAACACGTAACAGGGGCTACGAGAGGGCTGTAGTTTCACACCCTTTGCATGGATTATGTAACGCTTTCCAACATGCATCGTCTTCCGAAATATATATATTTTTGCAATACAGAAACAAATGGGTAGATGTCAGAACATAGTCGATTTGCATAATATTAGTGTAGTCTTTTTGGCTCTGGTTTTTACGTGGAGTTTTTGGGCAACTGGTTGATTTAATTTTGCCAGTTTTGAATAGGGTAAGTGCCAACTAGTAATCCAAATTTATTTTAAACTTTCGTTCATATTAAAAAGCAATAGTGCATGCCTGTTACACATACCTTCAACCTTACTTGGAAAGCATTAAAAATAAAAACATTTGTGCAATATAATAACTTGTAATTCTATTTTATTGCAGTCGGATGTCATAATAAACACAACCTCGGCAAACATGAAGTTGGATTCTGGAAAGGTGTCCAGTGCCATTTTCCGTAAGGCCGGTCCGACACTGCAGAATCTCGTTGACAATATAGTCCAGGGCCAATCCATTCGTTCTGGGCAGATTGTGAAGACGGACGTGACAGGCCTTAATCTTTGCTGTCACATGGTGTACCACACCAGCCTGGGTTCCTGGGACAATGGCAAACATCTCCACAAGTTCATGAAACATAGCCTAGAGATGGCCCATCGAGACGGGGTTTCTTCCATCTCCTTCCCAGCACTTGGCACAGGAATGCTCAGTTACCCACCAGCGATGGTTTCAAGTTTCATGTTTTCAGAAGTTATCAACTTCAGCCAGAGTCATCAGAAAACAATGCTGAAGGACATCCGATTTGTGATTTTCTCCAAAGACCAGCTCGTCATTTCAGTAAGTCTGACACACTAGGCCTTTTACATGGACAAGTCTAAAAGGATATGTGAACAAGTACTGTTCTGCATAGGGCAAAGTATACAAAAGCCTGGAAATACTGCATAGTTGACTTTCGAAGAATGTTGAACACCTGCTTAAATTGCACAGATGTATGCCATTTTTTTTACTGAATGTCGGTCCATGTTTTGAGGAACTGATGTGAGCGTCGTCGTATAATAAACTAAAGTATAATACGGTACTATAATAATCCAGTAATGACAATTATTTATACAGAAAAGCCTCACCTTTTCAGAAAGGTTCTGCATTGGGATGTTTGGCTCAAACCATTAATGAGTAGCATGTGGGAGGAGATCGGAGTAGCCGGATAAAATCCATGCACCTATATAACACTTGGAAAGGCCTGGTTTGGTGGTCACCCATTCAAATATCAGGCTTCACCACATCTGAGAGAATGGGTGTGTTTAGGGTCGTTTGGACCACAGCCTTGTTTCCAGGATTTTGATGTTTTGAAGGAGACCATTTCATGGAAGTTCATTGAATAAATTAACATTATTAAACTTTTTTCAGTGTGTTAAAGCTAAAGCGTTATCAGTTAAAATACTTACAGTTTTGCTATTTTCACAGGCCTTTCAGGCAGAGCTGGCCAAACATCTTCGAGGTATGTGTACCTTGCTATAACAGCAGGTTGTGCAAGTGGCCACCACACCACAGCTGGCTTAGCCTCCTGCACCCTCATGCATGATGCTTCCACTTGACATGCAGACACAGGAGCACTCTTTCATCTCTGTCCAGATACAACAGCACCCTTGTGCTCCTATACAGATCCAGCAGTGCCTCCATAACCACATCTTGAGCCACATGACTTATCCATAGTGTATGTGTGTGAAGAGTGGTGGCGTAATGGTTAGCATACTGCGATGAAGCTAGCAGCCTGAGTTAAATTCCCAGCCATGAAATACATGAGTGGTGATTATCTGACTGTCCTGGACCTGTGCTTGGTAAACTCATCCTTAAATGAATAGGTGGTGCACTATGTACACTTCAGCACTGGAGACAAAGGCGGCTTGGGTGTGGTGTTGGCCACAACCACCACCTCATGCGGCGTGCCAGCCTTCATAAGTATTGGCTATCATAACTTCCCTCAACCGCCTCTCGGCTATATGGGGGAACTTGGTGTTGTGTGGAGAGTGATGGTGCAGTGGTCCACACACTGGACTATGACCCTGGCAGCCAGAGTTGGATCTATAGATATGGATATTTTACATGCATTGAAATTGCGAATGCATATAACATATGATTTCATAACTTTTCTGCAGAGTATAAAAAAAATTGTAAACATTTGAAAATAATTATTTCTTAAGTAATATATTGTTTCCAGTAAAATACATCCGGTGTAAGCACTGGTGACAATTGTACATTAATAAAGATGTACAGATTATAGTTGATAATAAATAGGTGTGTTTTAAATTCATGAGAGCTGATCTTAATTTACAACCTTTGTCAATCCACGACTGGACGAGGCTTCCTCTTGCCATGTTGGTCATGGGGATTTTGACTGATCAGGATCACTAGAGATATCACTCGCCACTGATCTTAGCAGTGGCCGGGAATGAAACTCGGGAGCCTGGTTCATAGTGCAGTGTGTTAGCCACTGCATAACTGCCCTGGGCCCGTCCCACTTAACCAACCCACATTTGGCACCATGAAGTCGGGTCAAGTGACCCTCATGATCGACATCAGATTTTTCACTGAATGTTACAACAAGTTATGGCACAAGACTAAGTTGTTGATTATTTTGCTTGTCAGTTTTAGGTAGCAGCTACAGCGGTTTAAACGAAGCTGCCTGCTCGCAGGCCGCTATGATTGGTGAATTTTGTTTGCCTACTCCCCAAAGACCAAGTGTGCCACGGAAGGTGCCGCCATTTAAGTCCGCTTACCAAAACGAGGTTGTCATTGTAAAAGTATTTGGAAAGCTGAAAAATAATGTTGACGATGTGAGCAAAATGATGAAAGAATTAGTTGATAAGGAATGCAGCCCCAAGAGAATTCAAAGCAATTATGTCTCGTCTTTGAAAGATGAAGACATAAACGTACTGGAAAAAGTTGAATCCGATTGTGATGTGAAGATCACACTCGCTTTTACACACATCCAAATTGAGGGTATGAGTTCAGATGTGTTTTCAGCTGCCACAAATGTGAATAAAGTAATGAGTGAGTTGGAGAAAAAACACATAGAGGAATCCCTTTTCACCTCATTTGCCAAGTGGCTGTTTGATGACAATGGACAAATGAAAGCTTTTCACAAAGCCGAAGTCATACAAATTGAGAGAGCTTTTCTGCGGGAAGAAAAACAAGTCGTCATCAAGAGGCCTGCAGGAAATCTTGTTATCAATTTTAATAAAAATGAAGCAACTAATCCACAAGGTGAAACCATCAGAGTGAGAAGAGAATGCATATTCCAAGAGCCGCCTGATCCACACGGTCAGTGTTTATTTCCCTTGATAAGAATGGCTATGTTTTTAATGACAGTAACTTTGAGGCTTTGGAATAAAGTTGAAATGCAACGTTAAATATGGGTAAACTTTAGGAATACAAAATAATATTAGTTTGCATGAAATATTTCGCAGTCTTCCATTGGTAGATGGTTTAAGGCTTCTATAAGACTCGATCATCCTTTTTCCTCATACTTCCAGTTCCATCTTGGTGTTAACTGCAGACTAGAGCGGATTTGGCTCGCCTCTTAATATTTACAAGTATCTTCACAGTCCTCATTAAGTGTATCAGGCTGCCCTGTATAGTTTCCCCTTTGCAGTCGTGTATACTTCTAACTCTGTTTTGTTGGTTTGAACGTTCTAAACATGTTTATTTGTGCTTCGTTGCATTACTTTTTCAGAAACAATGTTTTATCAATATCCAAATGTGATCATTTGTGTTTTCAGCACTCAAAATTGACATACCACTCAACTGGGCACGAATGCCAAAAGGACAAGAAGTGATGAGGGTTTGGCTCCATCCACAATCGGATGAATACAAAAATGTTGAGACTCGTTTTTTAAAAACTATCACCGCTTTCAAGGTCTTCAGAGTAAGTAATTCGAAATTTGTTTTTTTCAGATTTACTGCAATATGCTTAAAGATTCAGAATTGTATTTCATAGTAATTGGAGTGACTTGCTTTGTCATCCAGATTGAAAGGATCCAAAACATGAGCCTGTACCATACCTATCAGGTCATGAAGAAGTCAATTGAGTCAAGAAACGATGGGCAGGTGATATGTGAGAAGCTGCTTTTCCACGGCACGCGATCAGACTCCATCGACAACATTAATCACCACGGATTCAATCGCAGCTATGCTGGAAAAAATGGTACGCATGTATACGGTGACCAGCTAGACTTTTTATGTTCAAATCAGTTTTTTTGAAAGTTCAGTAAAACTTCTCAAAGCCAGACACGATTCAGTTATAGAATTAGAGGTACTGTATGTGAAAAGATTGAACAAAACAACTCCAACCAGAACATTGTGCGTGCACTAATTAAGCTGTGCACAGAAGCAGAAGATGTTCTACAATAATTAAGTCTGCAATACTGTTCTCCAATAATTTAAACGGAATTGATTAAAGTTGTATTTAATGAAACACATTACTGCGGAGGGGGCTGGTAGGAAATTTTGAAGTAATTATGAAGTAATTATGTACAGATATTTAAGCCAAACTTGTTAGGGTCGTGCGCAGAAGAAAGCAAAATGAAAAGTGAGCAGAATTATAAAACGACGCCAGAAAGTGCAGCGTAAAAGAGGTCGCACCAGAAAGTGCAGTGTTATAATCCCCTGCCTCCTGTGAATCCCGGTTGGGCTTCCAGTCCATATAAGGGCACCACGGGGTGACCAGCCCCTCCCCACCCAGCCCCACCCCTCCGACGTGGACAGACATACACAATTAATCCCCTGCCTCCTGTGAATTAATCCCAGTTGGGCTTCCAGTCCACTACGTTTCCTACCAGTATAACAACTACATTCCAAAACCAGTGGGTCAAGGTCACTATCACTCGCAGGCTGTGGTAGACTGAAGCTGTCGGTGAGCAGGGGCTCTGTAAGTGGTAATTGGTAACGCCATTTGCATATGTACAGCATTCATGTAAATCCATTACTTAAATACTTTTTTGAATATTTTGCATGGTAAATGTATTGAAAATTGTGTAAATATATTTTAAAAAAACATTACTGCAATATATTTGAACATTCATTTTTATAAATACTGTGCATTACTTGCTGTAAGAAGACGACTTCAAGAAAATCTGGAGCCATCCACCTCTTTCATGGTGATGGCAACACATTCAATGGCAGTGATATTTAAATTGGAAATATTGAGTTCATATAATTGCTCCAAGCCCCGTCCATGTCTGGTTTCGAGAGGTTTTACGAGAGTAATTTAAGCCAACGGGGGTTTACCTCCAATGTAAAATTGTTTGAAACATATCATGGAAAATGCTATGTATTTAAAAAAAATAATTTACACTGAATTGTAGTTTACAAAAAAAAATCCATAAATTGTGTACTATCAATATTTTCTGTCCACAGCTACGGTATTAGGTGTAGGGACATACTTTGCATTGAACGCTTGGTACTCGGCCTCTGACACATATTCCAAACCCGATGCCAATGGAACCAAGTACATGTTCCAGGCCCGTGTTCTCACTGGGTCCTATTGCAAAGGGGACGCGAGCATGAAGGAGCCACCACTGAAAAGTCCGTTTTCAAAAACTGTACGCTACGATAGCGTGGTCGACAACTGCTTTTCACCGAGCATGTTTGTGGTATTCTACGACAATCAGGCTTACCCAGAGTACCTCATAACCTTCTCTAAATAAGTTGCCTGTTGGCTGTGAATTCTGTGGTTCAAAATGTACATAAATGCCTTGTCCAGTCTATCAGAGTGTTGACATTTTATTCTTTGTTGCGTTGATATAATTGTATATTTTCCAGTTTATACATTTTACGATGTGCGCTGCAGTAGTTAACTCACGGTTGGTTGTTTTCAAGGTTTGTTTTTTTCCAGCATTAGTGTTTACAGTAAAACCTTTTGAAGCCGGACTAATTTATTGTCCGGGGGTTGTCCAGCATACTGAAAATAATCGAGAAGTAGGTAATTATTAAAGTTAAGTTACAAATACAGTTGTCGGAATATTTCACAATCTTGATACTGTAGTTCACAGTTTTAAACTGCTCAGCTTGAATACAGTAAAAATCCTTAATCTAATTTTCTTAAAAATCCATGTTTAATGGAGGAAGCTTATGAGGTTCTTTAAAATGCCATTTTTAGATTGACTTTAAAGTGGCAGCCTATTAATAAAATAAAGTGTTATTGTTGTGAAGAATCTCGAAGCAACCTTTCTCATATAAGACTTTAAGTTACATTTAATGTTCAGCATTGAGGAATGTGATAATGGCCAATTTTGTGATATTGCTGTGTTATACAATGCAAATGCATATGTTTGGTCTTGTTTAATGTGCAATAAACGGATACTGAAAATTTGTGTATAAGGAGATTTCTATACAATTACACAGCGGATTGTAATCTGTAGCATTGTGAATGTGACTTGACGCAATTCAACTATTTTGCATAAATTTAGTTCACACGTCTCTACATCCATAGAATATCAGCTGCTCTAGTCTACAAATCAGGGTCACATACTCATTAACATCCAAATTGTGGCACCGTTATTCGCCGTTGAATCTTGAATTCTGGTCATGGCTAAGATCATTGGTGAGTAGTATATAAAACTGGTCTTGGTTTGCCCCACTTCAACCCACACTAATCGCCAGCCTTGTCAAGTAGTGTATGAAATTTTGATTTAAAGCTTTCGTGACTGCAGTAATGCAAATCGTTGCGCGTGGCGCTAACGTTTATTTTTATAAATAAATAAATGCGCCGTTTAAAAATAAATTTATGCAAACCAACACACCTGAAGACGACCGTTTGAGTTATGGTCGAAACGTGAGAATTTTTTATTGTTTTATATATTTTTTATTATTTTGTTGTTTCTCTTCAACGTGACTTTACCGAAAAAACTAAGATATTGATCACATCTAATCACACAACACCCATAAACAAGCGCACCAGATTGCAGCCCTACCATCTCCCCCCCGCCCCGCACAACACATTCGCACATTATTAAAATGAGCGAGGAATTTTGATTTAAAGCTTTCGTGACTGCAGGGATTCCTATTCTTGGTTCTTTGGGTAAAGTCACGGAGAAGGGAAACAATGAAATAATACAAATATAAAACAATAAAATTCTCACAACAAATTTTCTTGTTGTGGTTTTCACACCTGATGATGATTGCTTGTGTTGCAGTCGAAACGTCGTGAGAATTTTATTGTTTTATATTTTTATTATTTTATTGTTTCCCAACTACGTGACTTTACCGAAAGAACCAAGAATGAGCCAAGAATGTCGGTGTGTCCCGCGCGTGACGTCACTACACGTCGGCCAGCCCCCCTCAATAATCATGAACAGGCGACGTCTTCCACGTGGACCCCATGAGCGGGTGACGTCACTCCATGTGTAGCACCCCCCCACCTCATTAATAATCATGAGGTGACATTTTCCAAATGGACACCCCCCACCATTAATAATAATTAGCGGCTGACGTCACTCAACAAGGAGGGGGGGGGGGCGAGGCGCCTCCTCCCCCCTCCTCAGCGTCAACTCACAACCCTCACTACAAAGGCAGAACCCTCACGTCACGTGATCTCCGTGACGCTAGTGTTGAGACATCAAAGTAAAAATGACGTCATGATGAACAAGGGATTATAACCTTTAAATAAAATAACTCTGTGTCACCGCGGCCTTACAAATTGCACACGAATTGATGCAATTAATATCACGTCACGGTCTGTGCTTTTCACTTGCAAGTTTCATATTTACTGCAATACACCCGTCCTTGGACGGGCAAATGCTAGTTTATTATTAATGCTACTAGCCTTTTTGCGAGTCCAAGGACGGGCAAAAATTGCAGTAAATCAGAAATATTCAATAGAAAAAATTGTTCAGCTGATGATTAATGGGGGGGGGGGTTACCCCATGGGGAGTGACGTCATCCGCTAATGGTTATTGGGGAGGGGTGCGGCATGTGGAGTGACGTCACCCCCTCATTGATTATTGTGGAGGTGCCTCATGTGGAGTGACGTCATCCGCTGCCTACGTGTCTTTACCGAAAGGACTAAAAAGTAATTATAGTAGGTAATAGCGTTACGGAGATCCCGTGACGTGAGGGTTCTTTGCAGTGAGGGTTGTAAGTTGACGCTGAGGAGGGGGGAGGAGCCCCCCCCCCGACCCTCATGTCGAGTGACGTCACCCGCTCATTATTATTAATGAGGGGAGTCCATTTGGAGGATGTCACCTGGTCATGATTAATTAGGGGGGGGGGGTCCATGTGTAGGACCCCACCCGCTCATGATTATTAATGAGGGGCGGGTCCATGTGGAGGACGTCACCTGTTCATGATTATTAATGAGGGGGGCTGGTCGACGTGGAGTGACGTCACGCGCGCTACACACTGACATTCTTGGGTAAATGTTTCCCTTCAACGTTGACTTTACCGAAAGAACCAAGAATATGAATCACTGCAGTCACGAAAGCTTTAAATCAAAATTTAAATAGTTAACATTATTATATAATCTACCTTACCCCACCCTGCCACTGGATTCACTCCACCCAATACCCGAAATTCGCCACTAAGTCTTTGTCGTCAGGTGCAACCTCGGAGGCCACGTGACTCATCCCAAAGTCACTTCCCCCCTCACCCCAACACGACTCACACCACCCCTCACCCCTCACCCCACCCTCAACCCAACACGACTCACCCCCCCCTCACCCCACCACGACTCACCCCCCCTCACCCCACCCTCACCCCAACACGACTCACACCACCCTCACCCCTCACCCCAACACGACTCACCCCCCCTCACCCCAACCCGACTCACCCCCCCCTCACCCCAACACGACTCACCCCCCCTCACCCCAACACGACTCACACCACCCTCACCCCTCACCCCAACACGACTCACACCACCCTCACCCCAACACGACTCACCCCACCCTCACCCCTCACCCCAACATGACTCACCCCACCCCCTCACCCCAACACGACTCACACCACCCTCACCCCAACACGACTCACCCCACCCCCTCACCCCAACACGACTCACCCCACCCCTCACCCCTCACCCCAACACGACTCACACCACCCTCACTCCTCACCCCAACACGACTCACCCCACCCTCACCCCTCACCCCAACATGACTCACCCCACCCCCTCACCCCAACACGACTCACACCACCCTCACCCCTCACCCCAACACGACTCACCCCCCCCCTCACCCCAACACGACTCACCCCACCCCCCCTCACCCCTCACCCCAACACGACTCACCCCACCCCCTCACCCCAACACGACTCACACCACCCTCACCCCAACACGACTCACACCACCTTCACCCCAACACGACTCACACCACCCTCACCCCAACACGACTCACACCACCCTCACCCCAACACGACTCACACCACCCTCACCCCAACACGACTCACACCACCCTCACCACTCACCCCAACACGACTCACACCACCACCACCACCACCACCCCTCACCCCAACACGACTCACCACCCCCCCCTCACCCCAACACGACTCACCCCCCCTCACCCAACACGACTCACACCATCCCTCACCCCTCACCCCAACACGACTCACCCCACCCCCTCACCCCACCACGACTCACACCACCCTCACCCCAACACGACTCACACCACCCTCACCCCTCACCCCAACACGACTCACCCCACCCTCACCCCACCACGACTCACCCCACCCCCTCACCCCAACACGACTCACACCACCCTCACCCCAACACGACTCACACCACCCTCACCCCAACACGACTCACACCACCCCCCCTTACCCCAACACGACTCACCCCCCCTCACCCCAACACGACTCACCCCCCCTCACCTCACCACGACTCACACCACCACCACCCCTCACCCCAAAACGACTCACCCCCCCTCTCCCCAACACGACTCACACCACCCCCCTCACCCCACCACGACTCACACCCCCCTCACCCCAACACGACTCACACCACCCTCACCCCAACACGACTCACACCACCTTCACCCCTCACCCCAACACGACTCACACCACCCTCACCCCAACACGACTCACACCACCCACACCCCAACACGACTCACACCACCCCCCCTTACCCCAACACGACTCACCCCCCCTCACCCCAACACGACTCACCCCCCCTCACCTCACCACGACTCACACCACCCCCACCCCTCCCCCCAAAACGACTCACCCCCCCTCTCCCCAACACGACTCACACCACCCCCCTCACCCCACCACGACTCACACCACCCTCACCCCAACACGACTCACACCACCCTCACCCCAACACGACTCACACCACCCTCACCCCTCACCCCAACACGACTCACACCACCACCACCCCTCACCCCAACACGACTCACACCACCCTCACCCCTCACCCCAACACGACTCACCCCACCCTCACCCCTCACCCCAACATGACTCACCCCACCCCCTCACCCCAACACGACTCACACCACCCTCACCCCAACACGACTCACCCCACCCCCTCACCCCTCACCCCAACACGACTCACCCCAACACGACTCACCCCACCCCCTCACCCCTCACCCCAACACGACTCACACCACCCTCACCCCTCACCCCAACACGACTCACCCCACCCTCACCCCTCACCCCAACATGACTCACCCCACCCCCTCACCCCAACACGACTCACACCACCCTCACCCCAACACGACTCACACCACCCTCACCCCTCACCCCAACACGACTCACACCACCCTCACCCCAACACGACTCACACCACCCTCACCCCTCACCCCACCCCCCCTCACCCCTCACCCCAACACGACTCACCCCACCCCCTCACCCCAACACGACTCACACCACCCTCACCCCTCACCCCAACACGACTCACCCCACCCTCACCCCAACACGACTCACACCACCCTCACCCCAACACGACTCACACCACCCTCACCCCACCACGACTCACCCCACCCCCTCACCCCAACACGACTCACACCACCCTCACCCCAACACGACTCACACCACCCTCACCCCAACACGACTCACCCCACCCTCACCCCACCACGACTCACCCCACCCCCTCACCCCAACACGACTCACACCACCCTCACCCCAACACGACTCACACCACCCTCACCCCAACACGACTCACACCACCCTCACCCCAACACGACTCACACCACCCTCACCCCAACACGACTCACACCACCACCACCCCTCACCCCAACACGACTCACACCACCACCACCACCCCTCACCCCAACACGACTCACACCACCACCCCTCACCCCAACACGACTCACCACCCCCCCCTCACCCCAACACGACTCACCCCCCCTCACCCAACACGACTCACACCACCCTCACCCCTCACCCCAACACGACTCACCCCACCCCCTCACCCCACCACGACTCACACCACCCTCACCCCAACACGACTCACACCACCCTCACCCCTCACCCCAACACGACTCACCCCACCCTCACCCCACCCCCTCACCCCAACACGACTCACACCACCCTCACCCCAACACGACTCACACCACCCTCACCCCAACACGACTCACACCACCCTCACCCCAACACGACTCACACCACCCTCACCCCAACACGACTCACACCACCCTCACCCCTCACCCCAACACGACTCACACCACCCTCACCCCAACACGACTCACACCACCCTCACCCCTCACCCCAACACGACTCACACCACCCCCCCTTACCCCAACACGACTCACCCCCCCTCACCTCACCACGACTCACACCACCACCACCCCTCACCCCAACACGACTCACACCACCCTCACGCCTCACCCCAACACGACTCACCCCACCCTCACCCCACCACGACTCACCCCACCCCTTCACCCCAACACGACTCACACCCCCCTCACCCCAACACGACTCACACCACCCTCACCCCAACACGACTCACACCACCCTCACCCCAACACGACTCACACCACCCCCCCTCACCCCAACACGACTCACCATCCCCCCCTCACCCCAACACGACTCACCCCCCCTCACCCAACACGACTCACACCCCCCTCACCCCTCCCCCCTCACCCCAACACGACTCACACCACCCCCCCTTACCCCAACACGACTCACACCACCACCACCCCTCACCCCAACACGATCACACCACCCTCACCCCAACACGACTCACACCACCCCCCCTCACCCCAACACGACTCACCATCCCCCCCTCACCCCAACACGACTCACCCCCCCTCACCCAACACGACTCACACCACCCTCACCCCTCACCCCAACACGACTCACACCACCCCCCCTTACCCCAACACGACTCACCCCCCCTCACCCCAACACGACTCACCCCCCCTCACCTCACCACGACTCACACCACCACCACCCCTCACCCCAACACGACTCACCCCCCTCACCCCAACACGACTCACACCACCCCCCTCACCCCACCACGACTCACACCACCCTCACCCCAACACGACTCACACCACCCCCTTACCCCAACACGACTCACACCACCCTCACCCCTCACCCCAACACGACACACACCACCCTCACGTCTCACCCCAACACGACTCACCCCACCCTCACCCCACCACGACTCACCCCACCCCCTCACCCCAACACGACTCACACCACCCCCCCTCACCCCAACACGACTCACCATCCCCCCCTCACCCCAACACGACTCACCCCACCCTCACCCCACCACGACTCACCCCACCCCCTCACCCCAACACGACTCACACCCCCCTCACCCCAACACGACTCACACCACCCTCACCCCAACACGACTCACACCACCCTCACCCCAACACGACTCACACCACCCCCCCTCACCCCAACACGACTCACCATCCCCCCCTCCCCCCAACACGACTCACCCCCCCCTCACCCAACACGACTCACACCACCCTCACCCCTCACCCCAACACGACTCACACCACCCTCACCCCAACACGACTCACACCACCCCCCCTCACCCCAACACGACTCACCATCCCCCCCTCACCCCAACACGACTCACCCCCCCTCACCCAACACGACTCACACCACCCTCACCCCTCACCCCAACACGACTCACACCACCCCCCCTTACCCCAACACGACTCACCCCCCCTCACCCCAACACGACTCACCCCCCCTCACCCCAACACGACTCACACCACCCTCACCCCAACACGACTCACACCACCCTCACCCCTCACCCCAACACGACTCACACCACCCCCCTCACCCCACCACGACTCACACCACCCTCACCCCAACATGACTCACACCACCCCCTTACCCCAACACGACTCACACCACCCTCACCCCAACACGACTCACACCACCCCCCTCACCCCACCACGACTCACACCACCCCCCCCTCACCCCAACACGACTCACACCACCCTCGCCCCAACACGACTCACACCACCCCCCCTCACCCCAACACGACTCACACCACCCTCACCCCAACACGACTCACACCACCCTCACCCCAACACGACTCACACCACCCTCACCCCAACACGACTCACACCACCCCCCCTCACCCCAACACGACTCACCATCCCCCCCTCACCCCAACACGACTCACCCCCCCCTCACCCAACACGACTCACACCACCCTCACCCCTCACCCCAACACGACTCACACCACCCTCACCCCAACACGACTCACACCACCCTCACCCCAACACGACTCACACCACCCCCCCTCACCCCACCACGACTCACCATCCCCCCCTCACCCCAACACGACTCACCCCCCCTCACCCAACACGACTCACCCCCCCTCACCCCAACACGACTCACCCCCCCTCACCCCAACACGACTCACACCACCCTCACCCCAACACGACTCACACCACCCCCCTCACCCCACCACGACTCACACCACCCCCTTACCCCAACACGACTCACACCACCCTCACCCCAACACGACTCACACCACCCCCCTCACCCCAACACGACTCACACCACCCCCCCTCACCCCAACACGACTCACACCACCCCCCTCACCCCAACACGACTCACACCACCCCCCCTCACCCCAACACGACTCACACCACCCCCTTACCCCAACACGACTCACACCACCACCACCCCTCACCCCCCCTCACCCCTCACCCCCCCTCACCCCACCACGACTGGCACCCCCCCCTCACCACCACCCCCCCTCACCCCCCCCTCACCACCACCCCCCCCCTCACCACCACCACCCCCCCTCACCCCACCACGACTGGCACCACCACCCCCCCTCACCACCACCACCCCCCCTCACCACCACCACCCCTCACCCCCCCTCGCCAAAGACGCCAAATCCCCTTCCACCCATCCGCCGTCGCGCCCACGCTCCCACCACGCGATGGCCGCACGTGGCCGCGAGCGCCGTCGTCGTCGTCGCTCTCCTTCTCCTCTTCTTCCTCCTTCTCCTCTTCCTCCTCCTCCTCCTCCCCCCGGCGTTACCCGAGACTCAAGTTGCTCCAACTTCGCCTCGCCCGCCATGGAGGAGTCCGGGACGACGCTGCTCAAGAGGCGCCGCGACGAGCAGGGGCCGAGTGCGCGGAAAAGGCGGACGGCCGGCGCTGGTGGGGAGCATGGAGCCAGGCGCAGGGGTTCAGTGGATTTGAGTTGGGGTCGGGGGGGCGAGTCGGTGGTTATGGCTCGGTCGGGGAGGGAGGACGAGGTGGACAGGCATAGATAGGGTGGGAACGTGGTCGAAGACGGATCGGCCATCTATAATACAGATGGCCTCGGGGAGGCGGTGAACATTGCCGACTCCATGTGGAAGGGAGCCAGTGGGGCAGGAAGAGGCAAGGGCCTGGGTAGTTAAGTTGGTTAGTAGCTGGGTAGTTAAGTTGGTTAGTAGCGGCTCACGAAGGGGGGTTAGGACATGTCAGTGATGAGCAATGGGTGCCGCAATGGACGTTGGTGGAGGGGCATGGTCGAAGCGAGGATGAAGGAGAGAAATGACGGAGGGAAAATTGCTGTTTGTAGCGTGAGCTGGCCACAAGGAAGGCGGCCAAGTGGCGAGTTGCGGGAGCAGTGTGTAGTAGGAATCCGATGAGCTAGAAAGCGCTTTCTCAGAGATGTACAATAGGGGCGGCTCAGAACGTGACAACAACGAACGATGCAAAAACACGGTAGGGGAGTGCAAAATATGGAAAAGCTAAAGCTTGTTTTTATTTCACCAGGTGAAGGGCCAGCCCACCTGAGCTTTTACAGCTGTAGCTTTTTTGAGAAGCGATCTGGTCAATAATAACCACAAATTGATAGCTTCGACGAAGTGGCTTTTAACACGTGGACATTTATAGCGGGAAACAATCCTCTAAATCATCCAAACGCGCGTTGATTCTAAATGTATGGGGAGGGCAACAAGAACGGGGCCAGACTCGTGGCCTCGAATGTTGTTGACGCCATTTCGTTCTCGTGGTTTCCACGTGGCCTGCGATTGACGAGGCGCGATGAGTGGCGACGGACAGGAGCGAGAGAGAGAGGGGTCCTTGTTTAAATCCAGTTAGGGGTTGCGCATGGAGGATGATGGAAGATGACCACCATCATGATGAGTGCCACCAGGGTGGTGTGAAATGTTTTATCTCCGTCGCCTGGGTATGCAGGAGGTCGTTGGGTTCGATCCCGACCCTGACACTTTATATTTGGAGTCCGCGTCACTCTCTCGCTCCCCGTGGTCGCGTGGATTTTTGTCCAGGTCCTCCGGTTTTCCCATCCCACACCGGGAATCGACATCACGCGTTTGAGTGTTTTGGCTGCTGTAAATTTCCACGCGCTAAGCCACTTCGTTGAGCCATCATTTGTGGCCAGGTCTCTTCTGAAAAATGTCTATACATTATAGCTCGGTGGGCCCTGCTTGGTAAAATAAAAACGTGTTTATATTCTTGGGTCTTTTTATTTTCTTTGAACCTATCTACGTGACATCGAAAAGACCCAAGAATATGAATTCCTGCAGTCACGAAAGCTTTTAAGTCGAGATTTAAAAGGGTATTCGGTATAATGGACTGCAAATACAAGCTGCTTATGTGGACCTCGGCAAGTGTGCTTGTGGTGTTGCCGGTAGTAAATGAACTGCAGTTGAATGTGTTTTTATCACCGTGCTGTGATGTAAATGTTGAAGTTATGAGCTGAGAGCCAGATGATGCCAAATCACTTTTGCACAACATTCGTGAAGCAACATGCGAGTTAAGGTATGTAAACAAAAAGTAAGGTGTAACGACTTCCACTGTATAACAATCTTTTAAAGTTACAGTCCTTTTAAATCACTGTATTAGCAATTTATTTAAATTGTGAATACAGTATTTTGAGTGTATTACGGCGAGGTGTTTAATACCTGCAGCGTCCAGGGCTTTAAAACGAAAACATACAGCAGTTGATGTGCACAGCATAGTTTTGTTGGCTTTATATGGTCTGGTTCATGTACTATACATCATTGTGGTGTTAAGAAAACTATGATTTGGAAGCTATGCCCCGTTGTAAGTCAATCTTGTTTGCGATGTAAGTGCCAGAGTATAAACCAGTCAAGGGAGGTGATGGTGCCCATTTCACGTGTTGCGGTGACAAGGCTCCAAAAGCAAAACAAAATTGTGGCCAAATCAAGGTGAGTACTGCACAGTGGACTCATCTTTTCCATATAAATCTTGGTAATGCATTAATTAGTACATTAACTTCAGAATGAGTTACATTGTAACAGTTCGTGTTTTGTACTTCAACAGCAAAATGCAGACAATACTTGCAAGCGTCGGAATAAGAGACGTTCAAAGTGTTCAGCAGGTAAGATCAAGCGTTATACCTGGCACACCAAGCCATATAATGTATTATTGGCCTATGTGAACATTGCAACTTGGGTTCTAATACAATTTTTTCATTATGTTTTTTACTCCCCAGGTATTGAGTGCCCTGTAAACAATCTAAAAGATGAATTGGCACACCTGCGTGTGGAGGAATTTGAGGAATCCATAAATTTACCTCGCATAGCGGTAAGTTCTGCAATTGACTTAAAAGGCGAAGGGAGAAGAAATACCACTGATGTCCATTGTGAAACTCGGACACAAAATGCCTGTGAACATGCCAGTGACACGGGTATTGAGACTGGAACTTTCACTTGCCACCGAGAGGACCATATCAACACCGACGTCATTATTGAGATCCAGACATTTGATATATTGCAATTACTAAACATCGAAGAAAAACTTAAGATTCAATTTCCCAATATTTCGTTATACATTGATAAAGAAAAGTCTTCAGTGATGCTGTGTGGAACACCAGATGGTGTGAATGCAGTTGAAATGGCTCTTAAAATGGAAATATCAAACCTGAAATACATTCACTTGAACGTGTCCAACATGATGATTACCTTCTTGGGTGGCTTAGATATGGATGACTTTTGCAAAAGCTATTTCCATGAAAAACACATTAATGCCAAATGTATTATTGATGGGCAGAGCGTCATTATCCTTACAACTCAAGAACATGCGCAAATGGCAGAAGATCAGATGAAAAATATTCTGCGAGAGGTCCCTTTTTTGATTCCACAAAATTCAAAACGTGCCACAACAACTCCAAAATGGAGAAACTTTATTGAAGAGATCAAAGGCACAAATAGTACTTTAAATGGTGTTCTAAGCGAAGTTTTTGATGGCGTTGGTTCCTGTAGTGAAGTGGTTTTGGTAGGGTTTGATGCCTATGTGAAAAGGGTTTTCAATATGTTAGAACATTTTTGCAACATTAATGCATATACTGAGAGGCATGTTCCTGTAACCTCTCTCGAAGTAATTGAATATTTAGACAGTATTACTAATTTTTCAGAAAACCCAATTTTCCAAAACAACTTGCAGGTTAACAAGCAAGAAACAGGTTATTTAATTTCAGGTCATCCAGATAGTGTAAGTGCAGTGGAGCATTATTTAAAAAATTTGATTGTCAATGTCTTTGTCGAGAAACTAGACATTAGTTCACCAGGAGCTTTAAAAATTGCACAGAAAGAGGAGAAAAGAGTCCATGACATTTGCCAGGACAAAAATTGTCTACTGAAAATGGGTATATCTATCAACAAAAGTTCCTTATGCTTAGGACAAGATCTTGAGTGCATTAAATTGCTGTCTGCTGGTCGTATTGTATACATTTACACTGGGAACATATTGGTCCATTGTGTTGATGCCATTGTGAATTCAAGCAACATTTATTTGAAGCACATTGTGGGCCTTGCCAAGGCAATAAGTGATGCGGCTGGTCCTGATGTTCAAAGAGAATGTGATGAACATATCCGTATTTGGGGAGAATTGACGGCAGGGGATACTGTCGTGACAAGTGCTGGTAGACTTCCATGCAAGAACATTATACATGCCGTGGTACCTTGCTGGAGTGAACATATGAAGGCTCAGAGGCTTGACTCCCTTAGGAAAGCAGTAGCTAGCTGCCTGGAAATTGGAGAACGTGAAGGATATAGCTCTGTTGCCTTTCCAAATATTGGTGCCGGAATGTATGGCATTCCTCTCGGTGTTTACTCAGACATCGTGGTTGAAGTCATCATCCATCATTGTAATAAAACCAAGAACGTGGAAAACAAGCTGAAAAGTTTTCATATTGTTGACATTGATCAGAAGGTGTCTCAAGCCTTTAAATCTGCTTTTGAGAATAATTACAGTTTTGTCCAGCCCATCAGTCCAATACGCACAATGACAACGAAAAAAGGAATGAAAATCTCCATTGTGGCTGGCAACTTGGAACAGGATGTGGTATGTTTTTTCAATCTTTAATGCATAACATTTTTACATTCGGGTGGAGTGATTGTTGCAGTGGTTGGTGTACTGTATTGAATCTGGCAATTTTGATTATTTCCAACTATAACTATAACATGAGTGGTGAGAGTGATATCTGAACCGATCTTGGTCTCCGCTCCACCACCATGCACTGACCAGCATGGTGAAGTGTCGTCAAACTACCATGACATGGCATGAGAATACTGTCACAAACAGTGGATTGACAATAACTAAATAATTATTTAAACATTGGTTTGGTATGTAATGATCAAATATTGTCTGAATCATGAGTATATTTGGATGCACTTAATTAAAAAAATCAGTGGCATTTGAATGAAGCCCTACAAAATAAAGTACATAAATTGTTCTGAGGATATCAACACATCGCATATGAATGTGGTGATAATGCCTATTGAGTTTTGCAGCAAGACACTTTGCTGTCGTTTAATATTGTTTATTTCTGAGTAAAAAACAAACTTTTGTTTGACTTAAGTTTTATCCTGATTATCTAATTTCTTGAGAGAAAGTATCTATTCGGACCTTTTGCAGAGCAGTGGAATTCGCCATGTGAGAGCATGGCCCACAAACGCAAATATCAAAACTGTCTGAAATACCTTGAAATGACCTCTGGTCGACACTAGTGGGGGCTTTACTTTCCCACCCATTCTGCCACAGATGGATGTTGTAACAGCTTAACCTATATTTGTTATTCATTTAGCTGAAATATTGTCTGATTAAGTGCAGAACCTAATTTATGTTTTTTGTTGTAGTCGTTAGTAACCAGACTGACCATGAAATCAACTCGCTAGACTTGAGAATACATCATAGGCACTGCCTGTATTTGATACCAGGATTCTTAGCAGTGCCAGCCGAGTGCACTGACCTCACTCAAGTCACCCCATCCTTTGCTGTATTTTTTACTTTTGATTGCAGTCGGATGTGCTCGTCAACATTGTGGATCGCAGTATGTGCCTTAATAGTGGTGTGGTGTCAAAGGCACTGCTGAAACAGGCTGGGCCAGAGATGCAAGCCATGGTCACTCTGCAAAGCCAAGGCAAAGATGTCACAGATGGCCAGATTGTTGAAACGGACACATTTGGCTGCAACTTGGCCTGCAAAAAAGTCTACCACACAGTGCTTCCACAGGTTAACTCCAAACACCAAACATCCCAGGTGTGTGATGTTTTTTAAATAAGTTTACCTCTCTTAACCCAGTATAGTAAATATTGAATTCCTAACCTTTCAAGATTCAGAAAATGTTTTTCTAGACAAGATTTCAAACAAAAATCGTATAATCCTAATTGATTTTTGTGAAAAAATGTGCACAAGTGATGGATTTCATGGTATAGGTGTAATTTCCATTCAAAAGAGTACAGAAGATGCCAGAAATGTACAATCTAATCGTGAAGCTCTAATTCATAGGTTATTGGTTTGCAACTGTTCCTAAAATCCATGGCACACTGGTGAATTAAAATCACTTCGATGGACCGCCACAGCGTGATCTGCAGACGTGGGTGTGCGTAACACGGTGCTGCAGGGAAACACGGAGGGAAAAGTGTTTTGGATCTACACAGACTAGCTATGCTGATGTGATTTGTATGTAACTGATGTTCATTTTTCAAGTCTTAACAAAATGAAAATATCCTTTTTATCATAGAGCCACGTGCACCATTTGGGTCTTTAAAAAAACCTATGAACTCAAAATACGCAGGTTTTTCATTAATTAATTTATCAACTAGTCTGTGCCGTCCTTCCCCCCTATACTCTGCAAAGTAACGGAATTGCTTGCCTTTTCCCCCTCAGTGCGTGGAGCAACGAGTCTGTGAAAATTAGTTTTTCCATTACAGGCAGTCCTCGGCTTGCGATCACCCGCACTTAGGAACCAACTTCCATGAAATGTATATATTTTTTCACATTGACGCGACCTCGCACTTGCAAACTGAACCACGGAACTATTTTGTTCAGTGGGGCGATCCTCTGTGAGATGTAATGAGTCAGCCTCGCGCTGGGAGTGTGTGAATGCGAGTGGGGGAGTGGTAGTGTAGCTGTTAAGCGCACTGCACTACGAAAGCACCTCCCCGAGTTCGATTCCCGCTCATGGCCAACACCAGTGACCATTATCTGAACTGGTCATGGGCCTCCCCTAGGTCGACTCGACCTCAAATTAGTACCTGGTATGGCGTGTAAACATTGCCACGGGGAGACAAAGGCGGCCGGGCGTGGTGCTGTACCACTCACCCCCTCGTGTGCCATTCCGGCCTCCATAGGCGCTGCTCGCAAACGGTATTTGCCCTAACAGCCTGTTCAGACCATATATGGGATCCTTGGTGTGTGTGTGTGCAATTGTGGTGAATAATTGTCACTAATTGTCACCACAATTGCAAGACAGCATCAGGACTCGTGGTAAGTATTTTTAAAAATTACATGCAAATGTACAATATTTCTTATGAGTTTAACAATGCATCCCTTTCAAATAACACATTTCATTACTATACACTTAGGTTCTTTCGGTAAAGTCACGTAGGTAGAAAAATAAAATAAAAAAATATCACGATGTTTCGATCGCAACACAAGCGGTCGTCCTCAGGCGGAAAAAAAAGACCCCGCCTGCTTGCCCTTCGCCACATATAACCTCTTGTTGCAACAGCTCTCTCGCTGGTTCAGCAGTTCCACTGCTGGATTATAGTTTTTTTTTTCCGCCTGAGGACGACCACTTGTGTTGCGATTGAAACGTCGTGATATATTATTTTACTTTTCTACCTACGTGACTTTACCGAAAGAACCAAAGAGTATGGATTCCTGCAGTCACGAAAGCTTCAAAACATTTCATTGCTGACCATATGGGCATTTAAATACAGTATATTGTGTTCTGACTTGCGAACGAGTCTCGTGAACGAATTGTGGTCACAAGTTGACTGCCCTATTTGGTCGAACCTTCGCAGCGAACTGCCATTTACAGAATCTGTGATTTGGTGCCTCCATATCATCGTGGAGTAATGTTTATGTCGATATGTTTGGGAAAAAAATATGCTATACAAAAACACTATTTGCCAAAGTTATTGTGGGATCTTTTTAACGTTTCCACCTATTTAGAGTCTTAAATGGGTTATGAAAGTTGCTAAATCGAAAATGCAGATTTTGTGTTGTACTCTGGCAGGTTGTTGGTAAAATTCTGAAAAGTTGTCTGGCGATTGCTGGAACTGCAAGCTTCCGGAGCATCTCTGTGCCTGTCCTGGGCATGTGGAACCTGGGGTATGATGTGAAATCCGTGGCAGAGAGCATGTTTAGTGAGGCTGTCGCGTTCAGCAATGCCAGTGATGTTACAACATTGCAAGAAGTGCGGTTTGTATTAAATTCTCTTAAAGAACAAACCATGAAGGTAAGTTCAGTCGTAAATTGGCATGCATTGTATACATTCTCATTTTATTTGTGCTCTTTAAAAGTTATTTGAAACATGTTTTGAAGTTAACAATTTTTGTTTGCTAGGTGTTTGATGCTGAGATGGATGACTACCCCAACAAATCAGGTTTTATTCTACATTCTGTATATAAAATGCAATTACGTGTTCAGTTATATTTTATGCATTAATGTGGTATATGGATCCATTTTGAATGATACAACAGTTTACATAGCGATTTAGGAATTGTTCAACAATGCATTACAACGCATGTAAGCATCACACTGGTATTTGTGTTGTAATAACAATTTCTGTCGACATACTATAAAGTGACCATGAAGAAAAGGAAGTCTGCTCGTATCTCTGTCGCACTGAAAAACAAGCAAACGGCTTTCAGGCGTTCACTTGGCCCATCATTTGACTCGGGCAAGTCAGAATTGAGTGCTTTAAAATGTCCTTAAAATACAATGTCACGTGGGAATGTGTCAAGGCTGTGCCGTGTGTCTCAAATGCTTTTTTTGGTGTGTTCCATGTGTAGTTTGGTAAAATGCCTAACGTTGTGCTCCATCTGTAGGGAGCTTCAGTTGTTGAATAATCTTCAGCACGAAAACACATGGGTGATCTAATAATGGGATCTAATAATGGCCACCGTTAGGTTTTGTGGACTCATTGTCGAAGCTTTTTGAACGCCAGTGTGAGGTAAAGCAAGTTTATGTGCGTTGTTGATTTTGACTTGCACAAGTGTCTTGTTTGATTTGTTTATGCAAAAATAAAACCCACAGGCAACCCTGTAACTAGGAGCATAAATGGGGTTTTGGTGGAGATCAAGCATGGAGATATCATACACGAGACTTCATATGCGATAGTGAACATCGCCTCCGAAACATCTGGCAGAGCGAACGGTTGGTGGAGCACCCCACTAACCTGCTTGCACTCCAAGCTTTTGGATAATCCAGCTCTGCTGTTCTTTATTCCTTGAAAAAAAAAGTGTGTTCTTGTACAGGGATCACCGATTCAATCATGAAAGCAGCTGGCTGGGTGGCAGAAAAAAAATCGAATCTTTTGAGTAAGGAATCTTTTTTTTTGTATGCACAAGTACACGTATCGTTTTGATTTTATTTCAGTAAACTTAAACATGCACACGTATAAGAATACACACGTATAAGAATATACGTGTTCAAGGTTTCTGTTTTATTACAGTCATAATGTAACATTGGTCCTCGAAGCTGATTGATCACTGAATTTATATGTTAGTTTAAAAAACATCCTTAGGAGCTGTCCATAAATGCCGTCACGATGTGTGACGAGGGGTGGGGGGTTGAGAAATGTGATGTCACATCAAAATGCGCAACTATAAATATAAACAACACGTTCTACTTAATTAAATAGAATTGTTATAACAACACAAATTTTGATTAAATTTCATTAGTAACTATTTGATTATTTAAATTTACCAAGGTCACCTTTTTATTATTCCATGAAGAAGCATAAATTTAGTTATTTAACATTTAGATTTTAATGATTCTACCAGGGCTTTTCATTCTGTGGAATGAATGTGATTGATATAATTGTATTCTACATTTTCCCTCATTCTACTATTAAGTTTCAAGTATGTTTTTTATAGTTATAATAATTACTTTTAATATATGATAATTATGAGAGAATTTAAATATAATATTCTGAACATCTGCAGTTTTAATTAGACGATGAATATTTTCCAGTGAATTTTATGCTGAATTTCAGCTTTCCAACGCCTTTTTAATACGTGTTTTCGCCTACAACATCAGAGTGCAGGGCCACATTAAATACGCACTACAATGACAATAGTTTATAGCGATTTGAAGCATGTTTTATTTTCAAAATGAAAATTGGTTTGGGGGGGGGGATCAAGCTTCAAGCTTTGTGACGTCATATTTGATGGGGGTCTGACTTTTTGTGACGCCCTGTGACGAGTGAGGGGGGTCAAAAATCGTCCAAAATCGCGTGACGTCATTTATGGACAGGCCCTTATGTATGCAGAGAAGCATCACTTATTATAAATACTTTTTTTAGGTAGGCCCTGCAATGGATATTTGGACAGTTCTTTAAATGAACATTTTACATGTGGAAGGAAACTGCCATACCCAGAGAAACCCCACACACATTAAGGGGCTAACACTCCAATATCTGCACAGATGGCTTCAAGAATCAATTGTGCTGCCCTATTCTGTCCACCTTGTAGCCGGGCTGTGGTGACGCATGCCTGCAATCCAGTACTGGTGGTGCAGGTTGGTGGATTACACAAATGTTGCCAAACTGCCTTCCCAATTTGGTGTTGAGATGTATTACGCTGGATTATGAGAAGGTGGTACAGCAAGAGTGTACTAATATTGTCCCATCTATACGAGATAGAATGTTGCCTACTTGCATGCGTGGGTTTTTTGCGGGTGCTCCGGCTTCCTCCACACGCATAAACACAAGTTGTCTGAAAACATCTTGACATGAGAAAAATACCATGCTGTTGAAAAGCAGTGCTTGCACTTGGTGTAGCTTCCTGGGTAAATAGGTAATGATTATTGTTTGGGAGTTCAAATATGGATGATCCACCAACGATAATCTTTAGAATGCTGGATAGCAGGCATTCACCATCAGAGCCAGCAAGAAAGGTACTGTATTTTTTGGTATTCTACTAAAGCATTGAAAAAATACTCACCATTGACAACTTTGTTATACTCAGGCCAAATTGCAAACAAACCGTTGGTGGTCACAAGTGGAGGAGCACTGCATTGCAAACACATCATTCACGTGGCGACCCCAAGCAATCCTCAGAAGCTCAAAGCCTGTGTGGCCAAAGTGCTGCGTATATGTGAGAAGAGAAGTGTGCCCTACATCTCATTCCCTGCCATTGGAACAGGTGTGTGCAGCCTGTGTAATAGTTGCATAGTATTTGCACAGTAAGAACTTAACTGTGTCATCATTTAAATTCGGCATTCTAATTATGTTCAGTTGCAGAGACCAGTGTTACAGTTATGCGTGTTTACATGTAGTTAATCCAGCACAAGGCAGTGTTTTCTATAGGGACTTTCCAAACTATGGAATCTGAAAACTGGACAATGATATTCACTAGACACTGTGACAACACATTTAAAAAACTGGATTATTAAAATCATAATTAAATGCAGACCGGTGTCCAAATGGTAATGTACAATGAGTGCATCTAAGTGAATTTAATTGCTTGTATACAGAATCTTCCAAACTGCATACCATTGTCTTACAAAGCTTCACTTTCTATGGCACAGGTATCTCCACATATTTTTTATAATGAAAATATTAACGTTAAGGAATTGTGCTATGGACATTTCTGTTACAGGAAAAATGGGCCTCAACCCAGCTGTGGTAGCAGATACGATGTTAGGTGCCATCGAGCAGTACTCTGAATCTTGCCAGAAGGGCTCCGCTCTTTGTGGCGTACGGATCGTCATCCTCAGGAAGGAGATGCTGCACATTTTCCAGGAATCTCTGCTTGATTGGCAGCAGTCTACGAGTCTGTCTTCATTAGATGGTAAACTGTATTAGAATCGTATGAATTTTTGAATCGCACGAATTGTTCATATATCATTAGCTTGTTCTCACAAGGTTGAGCATGTATAAATAAGGTCTGCAAAATGCGTGCTTTGGGCACCACTGTTGCAGGTTATAAAGGCTGTGGGGCTACATAGTGCACAGCATAGGGGGAAGAGCAGCAAAATAGAGTCGCACGTAACGTAAGTATTGACTAAAAAGACAATTGTTCCATTGTAAGCATTTCACTAGTTGATAACGTTTAAATGCTGTTGACCAAAACGCCCGGAATGGACCCGATCTTGAAAGCCAGGTAAAGGGGGGTCGATTGCTTTGATGGGCCCACTACCTTTAAGCACCCACAATGCATAGCAGGTAGTGATCGGCTGTGGGCTATGTGGTGGGAAGCATAGGGAAGGGTACCACAATCCATTGTACTGTATTTCTACGCTCCCATAACCTCGACTTGCCAAGCTTCACTGATCAGTGTGGTATAGTTTGGTCAAATAACCCTCACAACCCAAATGGTATATGGATTGACAAAGAGCTTTACATGTGCATATTTGATTGGCATGGTTGAGAAGTGGGCCATTTAACTTGGCTCCAAATGTGTTTATTTGCAGTCCAAGAAAAAAAGGTTTTCAAGGACATGTTTCGCATTCAATATTGAGTTACACTTTGAAAGTAGATTTTACTTTATTTAAATTGACATTGTCTCGTCTTCAAGAATGCGCAAAAGTTCAAACTTAAAAATGTAATAACTGTCACGGGTCAAACATCGTTTCTGTACATCTCTACAGAAAGCCCGAGTTCTGTCATGGTAACAAGACCAAGGGACATGAATTCCAGGTTTGCAGTTCATCCAGCTCACCTGCACATTTATGGCAAATCCTGGCAGAACGTGTCAGAAGCTGCCAGAGAAGTGACGGATGTCATCAAGGGAAACCTAACGTGTGTCATAGTAGAGCTGAAGGATGTGACCTTACGGCCCAAGCATTACAGGGAGCTTGAGAACATGGAGATTCGCCTGGGTGTTCGCATCACGGCCGCACCCACCCACCTTTCTGTGGAGGGTACCAAAGACGACGTGTCGATGGCAAAACTTCACATCTTGCTTTTGCTGCAAGAAGCCAAAGGTATTTTATTTAACAATTTTTTTTCATTTACATGATTATTGTAACTTTGCTATGACAGTCACTTTTTTAATACGGCTGATCCTGTGAGATTTATAAGCAGGTTTGAGCCTGGATAATGCTGACATGAGTGACCGTATAACAAGTCGTTTAGGATGCTGTGGGACAATGTTGCTAGTCAGGTGTGATGCAAAAACAAATTATTGTACTCTACTATGCTCCAACTTCTGCGCCCCCATCTTCTGTTACTGGATAGCATTTTGAAGTGTGACATGGGAAGGCCGTCATAAGTGTTTTGAAAAGAGGGCTGTACATTTTTTTTCGTATTTAATAGCCCTTGCAAATGATCTCCAGTGTAATTGTCTATCTAGTGATAGTCGAGGAATGTTGGTTTTGTTTTACTTTAGCTTAAGTTTATTGCATTGTGTTTTAAAGTTTACTATGCTGTTTTTTCTCATTCATTCTTACCTGATGACGGTTGCTTGTGTTGCAATCGAAACGTCGTATTCTATTAGTTTTTTTATTTGATTTTTGTACGTGACTTTACCGAAAGAACCAAAGAGTAGTTCTTGCAGTCACGAACGCTTCGAATCTAGTTTACTTTACTGTTTTCAAGTGTTACATGTTTTTAAATCTGTTTCTGTTGTGTGCATGCACTATACAATTCACAACAATGGGAGGTGTGTCGAAGGGACCATTGGAGAGTTTTTTTTGTTATTGGAGGCAGTGGTTGGTATGAGACTAGAGCAGAGGGGAAGAACATTTTAAGGTTCTCTGAAAGTTTTCAGCATAAATTTAGGTGCCATGTTAAACTATTCATTGAAATCGATTCTCTATTTTTCAGAAAACAACATTCCAGTGCACTGGGATGACATGGGTCAGGAAAGATTTGCAATGGTCCCACTTGTTTCAGCAACACCTGAATATAAAGATGTTGCTGACCACTTCAATAAAAATGGACAATCCAACTACAGAATTGCAAGGGTGAAACATCTATGTATATATTTCAATAAAATGTGTTTGTATTTTAGAAAGCATTGACCACATTTGGTGTTTAGGTGTAATTAATGTGTGTCCATGTGAATGTAAATTGTGTTTTAGATCGAAAGGATTCAGAATATAAACCTGTGGCAAGGTTATGAGCTGCAAAAGAAAATAATCACCGACGAAATAAAGATGGATACAGAGCGACTGCTTTACCATGGAACATCCCATGACGTCTGCAACAACATTAGCCGCAATGGTTTTGACCGTGGCTATTGCGGCAAAAACGGTAGTTAAGGCTCATGGGTGTTTGAGGAACTGGACAATGAAATCTAATGTTCTTTAGTCGAACTTAAAATCAAGCAATTAAAATGTGTAGTTTTATTTTTACATTTACAAGTATTGCTGCATTAAAGAATAAAAAAAGTGCATAAAAATTTGACGACTCATTTTTCAAATATGGTACGGCAAATTTCTATTAGATTTTGTTTAGTCTGTAGGAGTTCGATTAAAATGGTAATGGGGAATTTCATTTTAAGTCTATAAATATAGTTTTTTTAAAAGGAAATGTAACTTTAAGTGAATCTCAAAACTTGTTGGCAATACATGTATCTTGTACTTACTCAAATGTTTTTCTCGCCCATTTTTTCAGGCTGGGCATTTGGAAAGGGGACATACTTTGCGATCGATCCAGAATACTCTGCCAATGACCTGTTCTCAGTGCCAGACGCCACTGGGCTGAAGATGGTGTTCCGCGCACGCGTGGTCACTGGAGACTACTGTGTAGGGGTTCCCAGCCTGAACACTCGTCCCAGCAAGCCTGGCCAGGACCCCAGCTGCCTGTACAACAGCTCTGTCAACTGTGCAGTCGACCCAAAAATCTTCTCTATCTTTCATGATTGTCAAGCGTACCCAGAGTACTTGATCACATTGAAAAGTTGATTCCACCCAATTTAGTGGTGTATATCATTAATGTACATGTTCTGTCACTGCATTAGCTTGTTTGTGGCATGCAAACCCCCATTTAACTGTAAACACGCTAATTTGATAAGATTTTGATCTTTTGATTTAAAGCTTTCGTGACTGCAGTGATTCATATTCTTGGTTCTTTCGGTTAAGTCACGTTGAAGGGAAACAAAATAATAAAATATATATAAAACAATAAAATTCTCATGACGTTTCGACTGCAACACAAAACAGTCATCATCAGGTGTGAAGAACCAAATGCTTCTTGCCATTGGTTTTTCACACCTGATGATGACTGTGTTGCAGTCGAAACGTCGTGAGAATTGTATTGTTTTATATATATTTTATTGTTTCCCTTCAACGTGACTTTACCGAAAGAACCAAGAATATAAAATTTTGATCCTTTAAAAAGTTTGATTCTGGTACAAGAATTAATATACTGTTTGGTTGTTAGAAGTTTGTTCATTGTTCAGAGCACGTAATTGGTTAAATTTGAGTACACATACAATAACTGCAATGTTTGTCGAATTTTTGTATGCGTTTAAAGTCAAGCCTTAAACATGAGGATGCCTTTTATTTCAGTCCAGGACAAGTCGTGTATTGAATATAGGCATTGGCGTTTATTCGATTACATTAAACTTGATGTTTGGCCTAATAAGTCATGGCCATGATCTCGGATCATTGAGACTTATGTTCTCAAACTACAGGTTCAAGGTTCTCGTGGTTATTGAATATTGCAATGCTCTAACGTAGTTAAACCATACTTCTGCGAATAGGCACACGCTGAATGAATAAAGGCCATGGAGCCCTCCTTGGAGCACACGAATTGTAATAAAAGGATGCGAGTTAAATTCTTAAGTGGTCAATTTTGGCTCGCACGTAGGCAGGATGGTGACTTGGGCAGGTATTCGTCCAGCAGTGGATTGACTGCCTGATGACGGGAAGTGGCCCTGTACGTACGGTGCGAAACATACAAACGTACCCGTCATGAGAATGAGCAATTTCTACTGGCTCGGCTACCAATCGGCTAATCTTATAAAAGGGACATTTGTGAATGTCTTCAAAATGTTTAGCGTACTTCCCGACATGCAACAAACTTGAAATTTGCCATGTGGGTACTTTCCAGACTGTACACCATGCAAAAATTATAAAAATAGACTTTTGGATATGTTTGGGGGGCAGGGGGGGTGCAATGTATACATTTTGCACGGCAATGAGCTGTGGTCATGTGATCCGCGGGTACAGTGCCATACAAATGTGTTGCAGGTCTAAGGCGTTCTTCGCGCAGCGTTGCTTTATTTGAGTCGTTTACTGCCGTACGCACCCTGAAAGTTGTGTGTGTTTGCGGCAAGCGCATGTATGTGTGTGGGGGTAGCGGTAGTGTAGTGGTTAGCACGCTGTGTGTATGTGTGGGGGAGGGGGGTAGCGGTAGTGTAGTGGTTAGTGCGCTATGTGTGTGGGGTAGCGGAGGTGTAGTGGTTAGCGCGCTGTCTGTTTCTGTGTGGGGGTAGCGGTAGTGTAATGGTTAGCACGCTGTGTGTATGTGTGGGGGGGGGGGTAGCAGTAGTGTAGTGGTTAGCGCGCTGTGTGTATGTGTGGGGGTAGCGGAGGTGTGGTTAGCGCGCTGTGTATGTGTGTGGGGGTAGTGTAGTGGTTAGCGCGCTATGTGTGTGGGGGTAGCGGTAGTGGTTAGCGCGCTGCGCTACGAACCCGGCGGCCCCAGTTCGATTCCCGCTCACGGCCACCACCGATGACGATTATTTGAACCGGGCCTCCCCTAGGTCGACTCAGCCTCAAACGAGTAGCTGGTGTGGCGTGTGAACATCGCTAGTTTTGAGCATATAAGCCAGGGAACCACGTTGGTATTACAGCACTGAATGTTGCATAGCAGCGCCATCTGTCCTCTGAATGGGGTAGGTGCTATTGCTTTAACTTATTTGTGGCTGTGTTTGCAGTTCGTCACCGCGTCCCGGAACAGAAGTGGGAAGTCGGGAGAGTTTCGTTTCGAGCGCGTTCCAAGACGACGATACTCGTGTTTTGTGTACCGTCCAACGAGATGGGCAACATCGCTTAGCCTAGCTGATGGTTACTGTTGGAAAGTTTAAACCAGGCGTTCAGGTGCAGGGTCGAGAGTAGCAATTTGCTGATTTGGTAAAAGACGTCGACACATCCATTGGTTTGCGGTATTTGTAAGTTCAGCGTATAGGGGAGTGGTCCAGACTGCATGAGTGTTGGCGACCATGGACACTCGGGACCCCACGTATGGGATCGTGCTGCATGTTGATCCTCAAAATAATGAATTAATTTACAAACTAGCGCAGGTTTTTCGAAGCCGAAACATTAACCATTCCATATCGTTAGATGATATTCGACGAATAACATTAGTTCACTTTAGATCACGCGCAGGTGAGTTACTTTACATTGTCAATCTGGTATTACAGCACTATATAATATATAATACTACAGGAGTATTCTGTACAGCCTGTGTTTTTCTCTCGATGCTGATGTCTAAAGATTTAACTTTTGATGGTCACCGTAAACAGCGATTGCGCCCTCTGTCTCTTAAGTGTCGCCACCGTGGCGTTTGTCGCTCGCAACTAAACGTCGGAATATAGCAACTTTTACTGCAAGATAATAATGCTGATTTTAAGGACAATTTGTGCTTTCACTACTGCTGGGGAAATGACGTTAACTTTACGAAAGTCCCCTTAAAAATCTGCCGACTTGATATTCAATTAAAGCAGTTGTCAGCACTGGAAGGGTCCGACCGACCATAATTGGTGTGGTTCAGGACATGACCCCGAGATTAGTTTTGGATAAAAAAAAAATCCGCTTTAAAAATGTTTTATGAAAATGTAGGATTTGCTTGGGGATCATTTTACATTCAATAATTAAACGTTGACGCTCACAAGTGACATCACGCTTAATAGCGAGGCGTATGAAAAAATACTGGACATCTGTGAAAAAGAGCTTTGTAGCTCATCGGATTCCTTCAGTGTAATTCAATATTCTGACGTGTGGCGGCATTCCTTATGACGTCACACTTTAAGGTCACGTGGAATTTCGTGTCGAGGCCACGTTCGATTTTTCGGGTGCATCGGAAACATCCCAAAGTTGTATGCGACAGTGGCTGTTTACGCTCATTGCTGAATATAAACACGGCATTGTAAGTTCACAATGTAAAATACGTGCATGTACGTGACTTGTATATTCGTCACACTGACAAAGTGAACACAGGTAACATTTCAAATGCCATTGCTTTCTAAAAGAGCCTGCATAATTCACATTTGTCTTTGCATCATCAACGGCTCAAATATTAGTTTGTTTAATAGTACTGGAAAGTGCTCTCCGTGTCAACTTCCGACGATGGCAAGATATAAAGGTCGACCGCAGCAGTGGTGCTAAAGCACAAACACCATCAATTTCATTATTTTAAAACGCATAAGCGAACGTTATGGATTAAGGGGAATTGAAAGGGGCAGGGACACATGGGAGAGTGAGCCACATGGCATATGGCCAAAGAGACCGCAGAAGTCGCACCACATTCATCTTCAATACTGTGCTTATAACAGAAGGTAGATATTACTGTGTATGTAATAATTCTTAGGCAATGTTGCCTTTAAAAGAGAATGTTAATTTGACCACAGAAGTGCAAACTTTGTTTTTGATTAATTGATGCTCTTGACGTTACTTTAATTTAATTGCATTCAGTAGGGATATTCCATTTTTTGTTATAAATCCGAATATCCCTCGGAGATATGAAATATTTGGATGATCCAGAATTTTCTCCCCTGCTTGTTTCGAAAGTTTGACGTCGCATCTTGTACTTTCGTACTTTTCCTGCAAAAAAAGTGGTATCGCATAATAAAATGTTCTAAGTTGTCCTTCAAAATCAGCAGTGTTTCCATCTGAACAGACTGCATCAGCTACGTAGTTGGGGCAAACGGTAAAAAACAAAATCAATGTCTCCTTCATATCTATCTCTACAAACATAAAATGGTGTTTCTTACACAGCCCATCAGCCGCAGGCCCTTCTGGGTGTGCATAATTTCAGAGATCGCTCAATGATGCTGAATGGAATTACCAGCGAAACGTTGTACTATTCACATTGTAAATGTGGATTTACTCCAACACACCGGTGGGCTGAAGTAGTACCTAATTGGCGCGTTGTTTACGTGACAAACCTGACCGGCTGTGTCGGGTGGTGGAGGGTTACGACACATTCATACTTACGCGATCTAACCCAAAAACCTTTAATATGAACAAATGTCTTCTGTTTGCCATTCTTCAAAAGACCGCGATTACATGTTGCACGACAGAGGGCTTCTGCAAAACGTGAGAGTTACCCCACTCGAGGAGTACCTGGGCCACCACTTGTCCAGGCGTGAAGCCACAGAGACGCCTCCATCACAATGGAGGATGCCCGCAGAAGTTCACGGCACCTCTGGCCACGCCGCATCAGGACAAGTAAAGTGTCGCCGCAGCACTGTTACTAATTATAACATATCATAGGCCAACACTGCACTATAGTGCATGTTGTGTATTATTAAAGTGTACCCGTGCATGCATTATTAACCATTGTACAAAAATCCATGTACTATTAATTGCACTACTCTCATCGTCAAATGCAATGTGTAAAGACTTGCAGTCATCTGATATTGGTCAATGTAAAAGCAAACCGTAATCTGTAAACCGTAGGGGTGGGGAACGTCCGGCCCGCGGGCCGTATGAGGCCCGCGAAATCATTTGGTGTGGCCCTGCCAAGGCAACCACAGGCGGGACTCGAAATTCAATAAATCTAGGAGCAAACCTGGAAAAGCAGTTGCGAGTAGCAGCAACATCGTCAATACCAGCCAACATCACACGCCTCACCAAAGAGAAGCAGTTCCAGCCATTACAGGGGTGAGCTAATTGAATGTTTGACCAAATATAACAGGCTAATTTTTTAGTTGATAATTTTGTATGGCCCGCGAATGATGTTATAATATCCAAATGGCCCTTGGCAGAAAAAAAGGTTTCCCACCCCTGCGGCGTTAGATGATGAGTATGATTATGGTGCTGTATTGTAAAATGCGTATTGTGTATATTGAACATTGGTGCCTTTTTTTCCCCCCCACAGCAAACAACTCGGGCATCAATTCAATTTGTGTCTGCAACTGCCCTCGACTACATTGATGAAAAAATACAAACTGATGATATCTCAAGAAAAGAAAGGGTTAATTTTCAGAGTGATAAAACAAATATGACGATGACAGTATTTGGGGGGGAACAAAATATAATTTCTGCAACAAAAAGTGTCTTTGCAGCTTTAAAGGATGTTGCTCATCACGAGATTTCTATGGAAGGAATTGATAAGTTAAAAATGTTGACGGTACATAAAGGAGACATTGCAAAAGACAAAAATAGCAAAATAGAAATATTTCAGAGCTGCAAAGAAGCACACCCCGTTGGAATACAATGCAGGGTGGTCCTGCCTGGTGGCCGAATCCTGTCTGTGTTTGAGGGTGATGTTTTGGAACATCACGTTGATGCAATGGTGACAACTGCACCCAATACAAAGTTGAAAGGCAGCAAAGATTATCCAAAAACGGGAGATTCAGACGTACAGAGGCAAATTGATGAAGTGTTTCGCGAGCGTGAATTAGAGGAGGGACATTGTTTCATCACTGGTCCAGGTCACCTGCCTTGTAAAATAATGATTCATGCTGTGGGTCCTCCCTCAAAATATGTATATCCACAAATTGGAATTGAGGAATCCCGTCTTCTAGAAACAATAATTACACTGAGCCTGAGAGAAGCCAATCTACATGGCCTAAACTCAATTGCCATTCCTACAGTGCTTGCTCAGCAATATGGATTTCTTGATGATGCATGTGCTAAAATTATAGTCACTGCCATAGTCAACTTCTGCAAAGATACAAAATATCAGGGTCGCTCTGTCCGTGACGTTAGAGTTGTAGACAAAGAAGGAAAGATTGCAAAAATCATTGCAGACACTTTTCAAACGAAGACTAAATCATTCAAGTCAATGTTGATCTCAGACGCTCTAAATGAAACATTAATGCGATTCACAACCGCAACAGGACAATCGGTCGTTCTTGTTCGTGGTTCACTCGAGGAGGAGCAGGTAAACATGTTTAATTGTCATACGCAATAATATCGTAACAAAGGCACACAGACTACAGTATTTACCGTTCTGTTTAAACCATTATGGAGTGGTGGCGCACACTACGCTATGAACCTGACGACTCTTGAGTTCAGTTCCCGACCAAAGCTAACAGTGGCGAGTCATCTTAACTGGCGATTCCTCAACACCCCCTTCACCAACCCACACTGACCAGCGTGGTGAAGTATAGTCGAACGGCCCTCATGCCCGACAGTGCATTGACATGGCGCTGGAAATTGCTGTACAATCATATCTATTTAATTTTTTTAAAGATGAGCTTGATTTTAAAATATATTTACTGATACAATTCATCAGCATTAGATATATATGTACAGGTACAGTATATTCTTTAAAAAAAAAACATTTTCAGTAAAAAACACACGTGGCAGATGGTGGACTTATACAGTCCTGATTTGAATGTTGAACTCATGATCCCGAACTACAGTTGAGAAGTTGTATTGCCAATAATTGTACATGTACAGCCCGTGTTTTTTTAATACATGCGAACATGTGCAGCCATGTTAATGCAATTCTGGAAGAAGTTTTCTCCACTGTGCGGGTCGTGGGGGTCATTTTACCATACTTCACCGCACTGGTCATTGGATTTTGCTGCTCTGCCCAACTGTGTTGGTCAATCCAATCAGTATCCACGCTGATTTGGTCATAGGCACTGCCGTTATTCTGATGTAATCCAACACGTGGATGTAGGGTTTGTTATAGGATGTACAGTATAGTGGTTTAACCTGTTACTGTGCAGGACATTAGAACGTGATACTTAATTGAATTTCAAAGAAAAACTGTCTTGAAATGTATAGTAATGTGGTTACGGATCCAGTACTTGAGTATTTATTACAGTAGTTTGTGTCCATATACAGTATCTTACAAATATAGTATGTCGTATACTGTTACCGTATTCGCAAGAGAAATTCTGTACGTAGAAAATGCTCAGTTTCCAAAGAAATGTTGTATTTTAGTCATGCTTACGCACACATTTTTTCCGGTTTTTTTAGACAAACGTCATTGTGAATTCTACAGGCGAAAAGGGAGAGTTGAAACAGGGTGCCGTGTCGAGAGCCTTGTTAAGCAAGGCTGGGCCTGATTTACAAAAACAGGTGACTCAAAAAATAGGAGGAAATTTACTTCAAGAAGGACGTGGTGTAGTTACTGACGGCTGCAACTTGGGATGCACGTTTGTCTTCCACGTGATGGTATACAATGGGGGAATAAATACTGAGGAGCAATTGTGTCGTGCACAAATGGTGAGTAAACATACAACTGTATCCTCTGTATTTGTACATTTGTATCAACATTGATTAAAAAAACCCTTTTTTCATAAGCTACATTTAACAAGTATTTTCACGAGACTGATGTTGGCGTCTTATTGCCAACGTCTTATTCGCAGCCCAAATCGAATAACTAGCTGGGTATTTTAATGGGAAATTGGCCTTGGGCCACTAATATAAAAGCATAAATATACAGAGGGGGGCCCTCTGCACGTGCCAATCGATTTTTCGCCCAGTCAAACGCGTGTTTGTATCACAACGGTCGCCAAACTTGGCATTTAGCCGAGAATATAGAAGGGGGACCCCTCTGTAAATTGACTCTTTAAGCTAAATGGCCCAAGGCCATATTGCCACTGAAATACCCCAACGACAAATTCGTTTTGAACAATGCACCTAAGTGCCTGTGCCAAATTTGGTACCGATTTTGACACTGAAATCTGCATTGGACCAGGGCAAATGTTGGTACTCGTAGAGGGGACACCCCTATGCAGAATTATGCTTTGGGATTTGGGGTCCAAGGTCATTCTATCCATGGATATACTGCATCGATTGATTACATTTGAACAATGCACATTGGTGCATGTGTAGTGTAGCACAAGTCGGAGACGAGGTAGTTGCAGGAGGCACCTTCTTTATTGACACTCTTTAGGTTTAACAGGTTCGTCTCGTTCCTTCTCGATGTCGTACAGCCCAGCCTATACACAGCCCCAACCGCGTTACACTGACGGCGTCGACAGAGACAGCCAACAACTCTCCGGCCGCGCATTTATCGAGTGAAGGCGGCAGCGACAAAGACGGCGAAGACGACAGCGACGATGAGACGAGTCCACTCCCAGAACCGGCAGCTACGAGCTCTCGCTCTCCGCTGCTTTTAATCTACTCGGCGCAACCTGGCTCTGCCCTGGCTGCGCCTCCCTTCTCGAATCTACTAGCGGGTTCAAGAGGCTTCCAGACGGGGTCTCTGTGACCCTTGCCTCAGATCCTCCGCCCGCCCAACGGCGTGTGCGCTAACTGTCCACTGCAGTTGCCGCTGCTGGACAGCAGTCGGCGCTATGTCACTACACATGTGACGAGCACACGTTTTGACACTGAAATCCACGTTAGGTCGTGCAAAATTCGATTAGTATTTGTAGAGGGGTGTCCCCTCTACAGATGTGTGCTTTCAGATTGGTTGGGCAAGACCATTTTACCATTCATATGCCCAGCTACGTATTAAATTTGGGCTGCAACTAAGATGCTTGCCGGAACATAATATTACGGAATACGTGCCAAGTTTGGCACCCGTTTTGACATTGACATCCGTGTTGGGACGGGCAAAATTCTATTGGCGCTTGTCGAGGGGTCCTCCCTCTATAGATGTGTCGTGTAATAGCGCCATCTGTTGTCCAGCAACGGCAACTGCGGTGGACGAGTCGTACACACGCCGGTGACCACTTACGCGGGTGTGTCAGCAGGGCGGAGGAACTTGGGCAAGGGTCACAGAGACCCTGTCTGGAAGTCTCTGGAACCCGCTAGTGGGTACGAGAAGGGAGGCGCGGCCAGGGCAGAGCCAGGCCGCGCTGAGTAGATTAAAAGCAGCAGAGAGCGAGTGCTCGTGGCTGTCGGTTCTGGGAAGTGAACTCGTCTCGTCGTCGCTGTCGTCTTTACCACTTTCATCGCTGCCGTCTTCGCTAGATAATTGTGCGGCCGGATAGTTGTTGGCTGTCTCGGTCGACGCCGTCAGTGTAACACGGTCAGGGTTGTGCCTAGGCTACATATGTATGCTTTGCCACGAGTGGCCCACGATCATCTTATGATGGAAATCCTCAGCTACTGCAATTATGGTTGCGAATAAGATACCAACTTCAACCTCATGGTTTTGTCATAAAACTAATTTAAATATCGGAACTCAAAAATAAAATTAACAAAATGTGATCTACTAGACATTACAATTAAACTCTTCTTATATGTAGCGATGTTGGGGGTGCTACTGGTGGTTCCATTCGCATGTATTTGTGCCCAGAGACCCCTTTTATCTACACGATTCCGAGTGAATAACTTTGGCTGATAGGATGAATTTGCCACAACTTCTTGGTTTCTTTGATCTGTGGATAAGCACAAACAGTACAACTTAAATAGGTTGATCTGGGGCCACGGATAATAAAAAGAATGGCTAACAAGAGGATAACAGTTTAACTGTCATTTCTACAAATGTATAAACATTTTGGTGTTCATTACAACTATTCAACTTTGACTTCTCAAAAACACTGTCTTGGGATCATTTTTTTCTTATACAACTTCTCAAGACTGTAGATGTGCTTCTATTAATGCCTGGCTTATTCATCACTAACAGATTCTCAAGGAGCTGGTTAAAACATCTTTGAGGACGGCACAAGAAAGGCAACAAAAATCTATCTCTTTCCCAGCCCTTGGAGCTGGAACACTGAAGCACCCTGTAAAAATGGTGGCAGCCACAATGATTGAATCTGTTATTGTCCATTTCAAGAACTACCCTAACAGTTGTTTGAAAAATGTTAGGTTTGTACTCTATCCTAAAGATTATGAAACCATCAAAGTAAGTACGACATACGAGAGATGTTTTTTTTAAATTAAATCTTGACTTAAAGCTTTCGTGACTGCAGGAATTCATATTCTTTGGGTCTTTCGGTAAAGTCACGTATATAGGATCAAATAACCTATCTACGTCCAAAGAACCTGTCTACGTGACTTACCAAAGAATATGTTATTTAATTCCTACAGGTTATATACAAATTGACAGCATTAATCTGTCAAAACTTGCATTTGCGAAAGACAGTTACACATATATTAAAATTCAGTGTTATATTAAAAATATACTTTAGTTTGAGTCCTAATTCCTGAATTTGATTATGCTGTGATGTTCAAAGTTGATTAACCTATAATTGTGACATTGTGTACTGTACATGCATTCATGTTTAACTTTCTATAGAGATATGTAACAATCTAACAACTAGCCATGTGGATAAAATACTGCACTGGGCTAATGTTTAATAGTTTTTCATAGAAACATTGTATATTTATATTGTATTTTCATAAGGAATTCCAAAATAATTTCACAATGGAAAAGGACAACATCGAGAATATGCATGGAAATAAATCCTCTCTGTTAACTACACTCGGTAAGTTAAACATTTTGTTAAACTTTTTTTTCACATGATTCCTCAGGTTGATAAGCTTACTGTGGTAGTAGTACTATTTTGTGGCATACTCTTTGGTTCTTTCGGTAAAGTCATGTAGGTATAAAATAAAATAATTCACGACGTTTCGATCGCAACACAAGCGATCGTCCTCAGGCAGAAAAAATAATCCAGCAGTGGAACTGCTGAACCAGCGAGAGAGCTGTTACAACAAGGAGGTTATAGATGTGGCGATGGGCAAGCAAGCGGGGTCTGAGCTGAAAGGAATTCCACCCCTGCACGCAAGCACCTCAGTTGTGTTAATGGGGGATTAGGGAGAGGGGGATTAGGGAGAGGGGGATTAGGGAGAGAGGGATTAGGGAAGGAGATTAGCATGAATGAGCTTCCGTCGCCGTATAAGAGTATCATGCCCGCATATGCGCACAACAGCAGTGTTAATGAGAGATTAGCACCATGAGAGTGCAATCCAAGGATGTGAACATGAGAGTGCAATCCAAAGAGAGAGACAGAGAGTCGGAAATAACAGCTGACATAGGCAGGTACGATGGAAACATCATATTAAGTTAAGACTTTACCTGGTTAATAACGTCCTTCCAATGATTGCTCAGTTTGTACCCATCTTCGCGGTTGAAGTTGTCTGTGTTTATAAATCTGGATGGCTTCATGAACAAATCTCTGAAGGTAGCCGGTAGGTTTGCAGAGTACCTCCGTCTTGGAAAAATCCATTTCGTGTGAGCCCACAGCGTTAAAACAATGATCAGCAACGCCAGAGGTATTGGTCCTACCGTGTTTCAAATCCGACCAGTTGCTACCTTATAGGTCTTGTCGATATAGTTGTTAAACTCTGCTGAGGAGAGCCGTAGTGTTCTTAAGAAGTAATCCAGAACACCTGATAGTTAATCGACTCCAAAAATATATTTTTAAAGAGAGATGGACTTTTGTCTGTACACAGAGAAAAAAAACCCACAGGATGTATACGTGTGGATAACACCCCAAGGGTTCACAAATCTATTTGCTGGATTACCATCTCTTAGCCATCTTACAGTCCATTACTTTTAAGACTTTCACACAAATCTGTACATGATCCACTGAACTTACCTGCAAAACAGTGGATTACCGGTGTGCCACTAATGCACAGTATTACACAAATTCACCCATTGTGTGTATGCCCTGAGTGAATATTTAATATAAATAAATTACACAGTCCTACAACCTTTACCTTATATGTTACCGCTCATTCATTAAAATAAATGGCTAGACTAAACGTAATTTAAATATTACCTCAGATATTTTTTTTGTCATATCAAATCCAAATATAACAATCGCAGTTTTATACATTCAGCAGTTCAACAGCTTTGTGTTTTTTTTTTAATCTTTGGTTTCTCTACAAAAGGAGCTGAGAAGAAGATTGGTTCAAGTCCAGTGACAGTGATACAGATGGCTGGTAATGCCAGTGATGTGGCTCAGGCAAAGGTGAAATTAGAGAATTTGCTTGGAAAAACAGGAGAATCTAACATACAATTTGCAACACCAGGTTGGTAAAAACATGTATTTGTATTGCTCTTTAGTTTTCACTGTACTTGAACATATAACTAAAAACTAAACTAAACTTTATTTTATTTTACCAGATAACGGCCACTGAGCTTTCTAGCTCTTTTCCACAAGCGACCTGCCAACAAATGGTAGCTTAACGAAGTGGCTTGTCACGTGGACATTTATAGCAACCAAATACTCGAAAGTGATACATACACAAGGTGATCCATGTATACGGATTACCTTTAAATTGTGATATTATATACCACAAATACCCTAATACAGTATGTTTTACATTTAAATAAAAAATGTACCAAAAATATATACGAACCATATTTTTTTACAACATAATGCACAGTTAAATATCAACATCAAATATATTGTTAATCTTGTTTTCGATGGATATTGGTATGGATTTATGTACATCAATTCAATGTTTATTAATCTATATTCTGAGGTTTAGTAATTGGGACGAACACTTTCATGTATTTTACAAAAGCCAATTGGAAGTCAAGGTGCTGATAACTTGGCCCGATGGAATATTTCCATTGCTATGATTCCATTGCTATGGATCTAGTGACAACCACAGTATTAATCCATGAGTACAGGATTTATTGAAAATGTGTCCGATTCGTGACATATGTACACGTTATTAATTGTTGACTGTTAATTATGTATTTTTATGTAACGTCTCTCTCATAAAGGTACAATTGTCATACAGCCTGTGATACAAGCAAGTGCAACTGCAATTCAGCAACCTCCTCATTCTGGTGGAGCTACCGGTGGAATGCCCTCCCCAATCGGTGCATTCGGGACAAGCCAGGCACCTTTTTCATCTGGTGGAGCTACCGGTGGAATGTTCTCCCCAAACGGTGAACACAGCGGAAACCATGAACCGTCTTCATTTGGTGGAGCTATCGGTGGAATGCCCTCCCCAATCGGTGCATTCAGGACAAGCCAGGTACCTTTTTCATCTGGTGGAGCTACCGGTGGAATCTTATCCCCAAACAGTGAACACAGCAGAAACCATGAACCGTCTTCATTTGGTGGAGCTATCGGTGGAATGCCCTCCCCAATCGGTGCATTCAGGACAAGCCAGGCACCTTTTTCATTTGGTGGAGCTACCAGTGGAATGCCCTCCCCAATCGGTGAACACAGCGGAAACTATGAACCGTCTTCATTTGGTGGAGCTACCGGTGGAATGCCCTCCCCAATCGGTGAACACAGCGGAAACCATGAACCGTCTTCATTTGGTGGGGCTCGCGGTGCTACGTCCTCCTCAAGAGGTGGCCATATCCTTTATAAATATTGAATATAAAATGTTTTACAATACAGGCATACCTCTTATAGCGCTGCCTCTTACAACACTTTCACCTGAATGCTTAAATATATGCGCGGATCAGCCCATATCTGGATGTAGGTGTGGCGTTGCCCATATATGGGCTTATGCTGAGCCTAAATCGTGGTGCGTATTCTATCGATTGTGCTCATAGTCGATCCGACAGCCACGTTAGAGTATCGATTCATCGAGGGTTAATCACTGCATCAATTCATTTGCGATCTATGGATCGAGTAATCCCATTGGTTAGTGTAGCTTCCTGCGAAACGTTAGGGAGACTAGTTGATGTTACGCCAAGTGCCGACCGAATGCATTTGAGTCCGTAACTTATCGTATTTTAAATGTAACTTTCATTAGAAGTTACAATTTTTATTTACAAAATGCCTTAATACATTTATCATGCGTATAGTATCATTATTAACGCTATTACTGATATCCCAATGAAGCCCTGAAATATTGCATCTCTATTGGAACAATGTTACAGTGACCTCTTGAAGCACTGTTTCGTATAGTGCTCCATTCACCAAGAACGCATCCTGAACGATCTAAGAGGTATGCCAGTATTGTAATCTATAAATGTTACATTTTACAGATGAAAGCAGTCAAAATATTTTAAGGAGTTCTGTTCATCTTGAAAGTCTAAAGGCTGCAATGATAGTGTAAATAATGTAAATCATTGTACTCATTAAAAATATGTGACTGAAATTGAAAATTTAAATAAAACTATAAAATCTAAATTACAGTAATTTTAAAATGTTAAATTGTATTCTTACATTCCAAAATGTAAAGTCTATTTGTATTATTTATTACAGGTCAAGGATTTATGGGTTATGATGAAGAAATAGCAGAAGAAGTAAAAGCATTGTCCCTTAATCCAAAAGATAATAGGGTGTTAGAACATGCTTTGAAACACTCCACTTTAAATATTACATCAATTTCACAGGTACCTTTTTACATGACAAAGTTCATCAAAGTTGTTCCATTGCAACTAATACTGTACCAAATAAATAATGATAATTGTCATAAGTGACATGTGCACTGGTGATTGTGCACAATACTGGATAAAGCAACAACTTGTTTGGTACAATTTATGAGTATTGTATGCCGTACAAAAAAAAATCTATCCACTTCACACAACAATGTACTGGGAAAATGAACTAAAAATGTGATATAAACAATAGTTTGATGATTAAAATACAATTCCTGAGTATGCAAAGTTTTTTTTAAAAAAATGTGACCCCCTGTGATGTAGCAGGGTGGATCAGTGGCGAGAGTGCTGCATTGGCGCTGCTGAGATGGGTTGCGGTTCAGGTGGTAGCATTTAATTAAACTGGGTTCACGAGTATAGTAAGCCGGTGGTCTCAGCCCTTTCACCCATGACTACACAAAAAAATCACCGGGAATGTATTTTCCCTTAATTGGTTGGATTTTATCTCTCAATATTAAATATACGAATGTCTTTGGAGTAGGTGGAGTCGAAAAGTTTGGCCTCGAGTTGTAAATCGGAGATCACTCGAAGAGATCTCAGAAACAGGGTGATGCATTGCTCTCAAGAGCCCCAAATGGATTATAATTCCTATAACAATGCCTAAAAATGAGATAAATGAATTAAAATATGTAAATAATGTTAACTGTGATGAGTTATGGGTACTAGTCATGGATTACCGGTCAGTTGAAGTACTTTTTATAGAGGTGTGCTGTTTAAATTTTGGTGAGAAAGCAAATATCTGAAAAAATATACTGTACACATTAACTTAGTGAGTATGTATACTGTGCTATAGTATAACTACAGTGTTTTTGTTTTACAATATGTCCATGCTATAAATGCACTTATATCAGCACACTTTGATTTTCCAGCATCAATTTTACATCGCAGCTGCACCTTCTGACATTTTCAGTTTTGCAGATTTAGATTTTAATGTAATGTACAATACCTGTACACTATTTAATTATTTTTTTGTGTCTTAATTGTTAAAAGATCCAATTTGATGTGTAATGTATATACTGTTATAATAAATAAATATTAACATATGGCTACGTTATTACATTATAACTCTTTAAATTAATACTATTATCCAATTTGATATTTGCATTTACAAAAAAACCCACACTTTATATGTGGATTTTACATCATATTTATGTATATTTATGTAAAGGTGGTGCCTCTTGACAACAAAGATCTTGAAAACAAATTCGAGGACAGACTTGCTTGGATATCGCAGCGTCATGGGAATCCCGTTAAATGCAGAATCTTGTTCCAAGGCATCAATGAGAATGATAGCAAAAGCGTAGAGAAAAATGGCTTCATGAGAGCACGTCCTGGAATCGACGGTGAGTGTGGACGGTTGGTTGCATTTATGAATGTTAACACAAACAATGCACGTGCTTGTAATGATTGTGAAAGTTATACAAATATACGCTTTGCATATGACTGTGCGTGTATATGAAGACATCTTTAAGTTTAAACACAAAATGCGTGTGTTTATTATTCCCTACTAGGGCACCGATACGGAAGAGGGATTTATTTCTACACGGATGTGCACGCAGCCCTGACGCATGGTGCTGATGGCAGTGCGAGGAAGGCTGAGGTTGTAGTGGTGGCAAGAGTGATGACGGGCAAGCACTGCCTTGGACAGCAAGGCATGCTTGTTCCACCACCTATTCAGCAAGCAGATCCAACACATTTGCATGACAGCACTGTCGATAACCTCAGAAATCCCCAAGTTTTTGTGGTGTTTAACCCTCACCAGGCATATCCCATGTTTTGTGTCACACTGAAGGATAACGCTTGAGAGCTTATTCCAATATGCCTGCTTATTGTCGCTGAACTTTTGCCACAGCATTAGTTGCGATTCATAATCACTCACAATACATATTTACGTATATTGGGTATTGTCATCAACGACGCCCAGATGCAATCGCAAAGATAATAAGCTTCCTATAGTTTAACATATATAATCTGTGCACAGATAATTTGATTTAAAAAAAATACTGTCGCATCTTGTAAGCAGGTTTTTGTGCAGTTTCATTGATATACCCTGGGAAACTATTTTCTAATTCAGTATATTGAAGATCTTAAATAATGTGCACGCATTTACATACAGTAGAGACATTAAATTAACGTGTTTAGACAAGCTGTCGGTAAAAATGTACAGTAGTTAGGTAACATTTAAATTGTACATTAATCACACTTAATTAGTACACGTGTAAAGACGACTTAACACGCTTTCTGGAGATGGTTTCTTTTATTGAAGACACGTTCACTTGAACAGGCGGAGACCCCACTGCAACAGCCATGAGTCTCCCTCGCATCTCCCTTATATACGGTCAGAGGCCACCCCCCATTCCCAAACCTCGCTGGTTCTAGACACTTGCTCTACCAGCAGACTCTACCGTCCTCTTCCGTCACCAGGCCTCGCTCCTATTCTCAATCATTCACGTAGCCACCAGTCCACTCGTACTGCAAGCCGACTCCCCTGTCATTAACCTACCGTGGCCACCAGTCCCTTCGTACTGCAAGCTGACTCCCCTGTCATTACCTCCCGTGGCCACTAGTCCATTCGCACTGTCGGCTGACTCCCCTGTCATTACCTCCCGTGGCCACTAGTCCACTAGTCCACTCACACCGTAGGTTGACTCTACTGTCATGACACATGTATTTCCCCCAATAAATGTATGAGATCAAAGTCCTTTACACGTTTTACCCAGTTCGACATACGTGCACACGTGCAAGTCACACGAACAAATCACAGGTTTATTACCTAAAGGATTACTTTCAAGGAACACTAAATGTTCTCACCCAGAATGCTATCTATGTGAGTTAAACCAGGGCCTATGTGATGGTTTAGTAATTTTAGCTTTTTTCTGGATGCCATAAATTCCGAATATAGTTTCGATTATAAAGCTTTCGTGACTGCAAGGATTCATCTTCTTGGTTCTTTCGGTAAAGTCACGTAGAAGGGGAATAAAATAATAAAATAAGACAATAAAATTCTCACGACGTTTCGGCCACAACACAAGTGGCCTTCTTCAGGTGAAGAGACAGGTCCGGAAGACAGAGCTTGAATGAACGCTGTCATGCATGGACCGCGTCTATTAAGCTGTGTGGGCGGAGTTAAAATATGAATTTGCATGTTACCTGCATCACCTGAGAGGAGGAGGGAGGGGGCTGGGAACACAGGCAGAGAGGAAACAAGAAAAGGGGCAAGTGCAACAGCCAAGGTGCGCTGTTGTGTCCTGAGTTGCCTTATGACTATGCTGTAAACTGGACGACCTACATAATACAATATTATACCTTCCAATCTAAACTACATGGTATAACATCATATCATAGACAAATTCCACCTTTGAATGATACAATGCGTTACTTTACACTACCCTATACTTTAGATTATAAACTATTAGACTTGTGATATTACACTGTCTTATTCTATGAACCCAACTATATACCACACTGATGTATATTCACTATGCAATTACGATGATATATATTGCCTTATGAGTTATGTTAAACATTACAATGTTATACTATTAATTATGATACTACATGTTATAAACCATACCATTGACCGTGTTGTGAGAAGTATTAAGAGGCAGTGCCAGCGAAAGGGCTACGGTCTGAAAGTCACCTTGTAATGTTTAACATAACTCATAAGGCAATATATAGCATCGTAATTGCATAGTGAATATACATCAGTGTGGTATATAGTTGGGTTCATAGAATAGGACAGTGTAATATCACAAGTCTAATAGTTTATCATCTAAAGTATAGGGTAGTGTAAAGTAACGCATTGTATAATTCAAAGGTGGAATTTGTCTATGATATGATGTTATACCATGTAGGTTAGATTGGAAGGTATAATATTGTATTATATAGTAGTCCAGTTTACAGCATAGTCATAAGGGAACTCAGGACACAACAGCGCACCTTGGCTGTTGCACTTGCCCCTTTTCTTGTTTCCTCTCTGCCTTTGTTCCCAGCCAGCTCCCTCCTCCTCTCCGGAGGTGATGCTGGTAACATGCAAATTCATATTTTAACTCCGCCCACACAGCTTCATAGACGCGTTCCATACATGATAGCGTTCATTCAAGCTCTGTCTTCTGGACAGACCTGTCTCTTCACCTTAAGAAGGCCACTTGTGTTGTGGCTGAAACGTCGTGAGAATTTTATTGTCTTATTTTATTATTTTATTCCCATTCTACGTGACTTTACCGAAAGAACCAAGAAGATGATTCCTAATGTAGATTTAGTTAACTTTTTTACTTTTGACTGTTGGGCACTTATTCTACAGAACTATGCTGTATACGGTATATTGTGAACAATTGTGAAATATATTGAATGTGGTTTCACTAAATCGTAGTTTTCCACTCAATCTTTACATTACTTCCCAGTACATTCTCCAAATGTTAATTGGGTAAAACTCTTATCGCAAATGTTTGTTGGTCTACCAAAGTGATAGGGTTTCTCACACTCTACCAAAGTGTAAATGTACACTTTGGTAGAGTGTGAGAAGCCCTAAATGTACACTTTGGTAGAGTGTGAGAAACCCTATCACTTTGGTAGAGTGTGAGAAACCCTATCAGTAGTTGACAGGACATATAACTTAATGTTTGAAAACCGTTTCTGGATTGTTCATGATTACTAGTCATACATGCGTGGCTTCATTGATTAAAATGAATTGTACCACTCGTGTAACATGAATCGTGCATGTAAGGGTAAAAAAACCCAACACACTTGTTAGTAACACTGCCTTGAAAAGAAAAAGTATATACGGTACTGTAATGGGTGACATTTCGTGCAATGGCCATTGTTCAGAGCACAAGGCCAGAGAGGTAGGCTGTAGAGTTTGGCGAGTTAGACTCAACCACTCTCGCCTCTCTCTATGTGCTGTGCAGAAGGTTAATTCCCCAAAACGTTGCCTATTATATACTTTTTTATGCAGTGCTTTTTTTCTTTATGAGTGCTGCTTTTTTATTGTTATACGTGTGCATCCTCGCTAATGCAATACAGAATCACCAAATTTGTTTAATGTAAGAATCAGTTACCTACAAGAGTATATACAACATATGCAAATTATATGCTCCTGTTACATTTGTGGCAATTGAGAGAGCAGACATGGTGGTACCCACCTGCATTGCCAAGTCAGGTTTCAATTCGCTTAAAATCCTCTGCATGTTAACAACTTCTGGCTGATTGCTTAATTGACTAGGCTTGAGCTCTTACTCTAAATGTATACCACTTTTCTTGATTTAAACGTGCTATAAAATTATCGTTAATAATATCACCTCCATCTAACACTCTCAAATACTGTCACATTCAAGTTACAATAGGTTATGGATTTTGAAATCACATTAGCTTGTGCGTACAAGTTTGTTCTTCGAACGGAGTTTAATCAGTGCTCAACATTTTCTTTTTCAATCAGTATGGAATTGTATTGATCGAGCTGTATGAGTTTTTTTTTCCCCAAAGTTGAGGTTTATATAATGAATATAGAAATGTATATAAAATATAATTTTTGTTAAATATATTGCACGCTTCATATATTATTGGTGATTGTGTGATGATGATTACAACCATAATTTGGGAGGTGAAATGCATCGGTTACTGCTCGACTCCTGTATTGTGTGATCTATTAAAACAAAACATTCTGTGATGGGTGCAGTTGTCAGTGTGCTTTACTACAAACCCAACCACTGTAAGGTAATTCACAACGACTCTGTTTTTCATTCGTTTCTGCCTTATACTTTTATAAGTTAAACACGTAGAGTGCTTAACAAGCACGGTTTCATGTCTACTGTAATAAGGTGTGATGCTTGGAGAACTGTTACCATGAAGGATGTGGTAACAAGGTCAACTTGGACCACAGGAAACGAGCAAGTTCCTTTTTTCGCGTGCATAGAACCCACCAGATGCACATAACAATTAGGACAGTTGCACACACTCGCCAAACGAGCTAGAACTTGAGTCGACTTAAAGATATCAGCTTCGGTTATTTTGCCATGCCAGTGGAACGAGGTGGCCTGGTGTGAAATCCCATTCGAGACTTAACCCAAAGGTAAGATTTTGTAAGTGGCGTGTTGTGTCTCATCGGTCTTGTCAGTATGAGAATTTGCAGAGGCGTCGGTGAAGAAGCGCCTTACTCTTTGTTTTTTTCGGTAAAGTCACGTAGGTAATAAAATCATTAAAATAAATGAAAACTAAATTAAATTACGACGTTTCGGAGGCATCACCAGCCTCGGAAACGTCGTGATTTAATTTAGTTTTTATTTTATTGATTTCTTTTACCTACGTGACTTTACCGAAAAAAACAAAGAGTATGAATCCTTGCAGTCACGAAAGCTTCAAATCTAGAAAGAACCCCCTGCTTAGTGATAGAATTCTTTTCACATTCCTTTTGTGAAACTGCTGCTGGTTGATGGCCTTCTCACAACGTGTCCAGGTATCGGGGTTGTCTGATCTTGCTTTACTGCTGGCCAGTTTGGGTTGATGTAGGGGCGACATAGGGCAGGACCGATTTGTATATACTTCCCCACTTTATAATAGTCGTGACCGGCATAGGAACTTGGACCACTGGGTTAATTGTGCAGTACAGCTATGTATGTGTATGTTGAAATTCTCTCGCACCGTACGCATCCATCCGTGCTAATTGTATGTGCGGCAGGGAAGGACAAACTAAACACACAACTCAGTTCTAAAGAAATTAAACTAACCTCGACCCTCTTAAACCACCGCTTAAATATTTGAGATGACTTTTAAAGAGGGATTGTTTATTTCATATTTTGAAGCACAAGTTACGGTATTTAAGGGTCATGACGTGGAGTGCAGGGGCTGTCAAAACTATGTAGGAAAACGCAAACCGGGTCCTATTCATACGAAGCATTGAAATCAACGCCACGTGTGCGCTCCGGTCACTGTCACGGTACACTTGTCGTTTACACAACAACACATTGCGGCATAATCCTAAACATCTCATACATTAGTCGCTCCCCTTGCTGGATGACTTAACTGCATTGTTGTTGGTCAAGATTGGTTGGTGACTAGGGCGCGCAGGAGTGGTTCAGATTTTACTCGCCACTGACGTTAGCCGCGTCCGGGAATCGAATGTCTTCATTGAAGGACAAAGCAGTGGTGTTTTTTCTTCTTTTTCTTCTTCTTCCTTGGCACGTGGATTGTAACGTGAAGGTCGTGGAGAATGGAATTGAAAAACAGAGCATGCACGTGTACAGTCCCTGTTGTCAACAATCCACTGCTGGATGAGGGCCTTTTCCAAAGACATGGGGATTATTTGGCCACGACGGTCATTTCGAATGTTGGTTGAAGGCCCCGGAGGGAGCATAGTAGTGTAGAACAACAGTGGATTGTTCTTCACCGCCCTCTGCTGACAACGTGATCCCCACAGCAAGCCTAATCGACCCGAAGCAAAACGTCTTGGCCCAAATTCTGAAAGTGTCCTCTTTCTCGGTGAAATGTTGAATACGATTAAGGCTGGATGGCGTGTGCTCTTTGAACCCCTGTCAAGTCGGACCATTATTAAGTCACGTACAGAACCGGGGATGGCGTTTGCGTCGATTAAAATCGATGATAATTACGTTCACATTGTGTGCGAGACGCGTTGCGTGAAGAATCGGTGTGTACATTATTAGTGGTTGCTGTACGTATGTACTGTATACGCATAAGAACGTTATATACACAAGCTAATTATGCGATCAAAACAACTATATAAAAGAAAAAAAAACTCCATGCGATACAAACGACGTTTGGTCCTCAACGATTATTGAAAAGTATCGGGGTCCTTAATAGGCGACAGTTTAGCGTCGTTACACCTCCAGTATCGATTCATGAATTCACATCAATCTATTCACGGCTCAACAACACGTGCATTAGTCGATTTCGTCCTGTAAGTTATCCATCTATGTACTGTTAATTGTATGCAAATGTAAAAAACGAAAACCATGTCGGAAATGGATAATGCCAACGAGTCAAATCAAGGGCAAACATTTTTCGAATTATCGATTGACTCGTGGCAATTCGTCGAATTGGGGACGGGGGTGGGGGGCATGTTACATTGTTGATTGCAAATAAGCCACAGATGTTGTTACCACCGACTACAGCAGAGTTACTTCCTCTAACATCTAATGTACAGACTCGGCAGCCAAGACACTTGATTAGCCTTGCCACTCTCGTGTCGTCACAATGGTGTGCTGTTTTGAATGCATGCAGCAGGGTACAGATATCGACTATCTACTCAATCGACAGTTGGATGACTGAATGAATGAAATGATGGCATGCGTATAATGAGCCTATGCTTAAAGTAACCTATACATGCATTATCTACACTTTGCTGCGTTGGCCCAAACTCTGGGGGGGGTGGGGGGGGGTGGTCTGGTGGTGGTAGCATGCAGATAAAGATGCGATTCCTCTTCCTTCGTAAGGCTTGATTTGATGATGGCAGGTGTGGAGCTACAACTACAATTCCAAATTCAGGTGGTCAAACCAGTTCAACTGCGTCACGAGCAGTGGAGTGAGTGAGTGCATCGTCACTGTGTTGTCTCTTTCGTGTTTGAGGATCGGGAATTTCGTCATTTTATGCCGATGATGGTACCGTGAGAAAGCAGCGCTTATATCTATGGGACCCTTTTTGGCAGTATAAAATTAATGAAAAATAAGAGTAGGTTTGACCTTTTTTCGAAATAAAACAGGTGTTAAGATGTTCAAACATAAAAAAAGAGTTTAATTATGAGTATCATCCGGAGTTGCCTGGAGATTTTAACCGGATTAGTATTTGTCTTTCACGCGGGGTTGGGAGTTGGGGGCCGTGGCGGGGTTGGTTTGCTGGTGGTGGTGGGTCCACGGGGAAATACAGGGCGCTTAAAAACATGTTAACACTTCTATGGAACTATCGTTTTTAATGGGAAACTCCATGGATAATGCACTGCAAATATAACGAATTGTATGTTAATAGCTTCAAAAAGTCCAAGAGTCTCCTCCCCGTGTTCACCATCAGTGGTTTGCAGAGCCCGGAGGCACACTGCGGTATTGTTGCAAATTATCTGAAGTGTTAACATTTTTTTGAAGCACCCTGTATTACTCCCCCTTCCCCCGCATTACCCCCCCTTCCCCCGCCCCCTTCCCCCGCATTACCCCCCCCTTCCCCCGCTTTGCCCCCCCGCTTTACCCCCCCCCCTTCCCCCGCATTACCCCCCCCTTCCCCCGCTTTGCCCCCCCCTTCCCCCGCATTACCCCCCCCTTCCCCCGCTTTGCCCCCCCCTTCCCCCGCTTTACCCCCCCCTTCCCCCGCTTTACCCCCCCCCTTCCCCCGCTTTACCCCCCCCTTCCCCCGCTTTGCCCCCCCCTTCCCCCGCTTTGCCCCCCCCCTTCCCCCGCTTTACCCCCCCCTTCCCCCGCTTTACCCCCCCCTTCCCCCGCTTTACCCCCCCCTTCCCCCCCCTTCCCCCGCCCCCCTTCCCCCCCCTTCCCCCGCCCCCCCTTCCCCCCCCTTCCCCCGCCCCCCTTCCCCCCCCTTCCCCCGCCCCCCCTTCCCCCCCCTTCCCCCGCCCCCCTTCCCCCCCCCTTCCCCCCCCCCTTCCCCCGCCCCCCCTTCCCCCGCTCCCCTTTCCCCCCCCCTTCCCCCGCCCCCTTCCCCCGCCCCCTTTCCCCCCCTTCCCCCCCCTCCCCCGCACACGACAAGCGGGGTACCGGGGCTGTCCGCGTGGCGCCAGCCCAGCGCGAGTTGAGATTCAGGTCCCCGCCTCTCGCCCACAGCGCTGGTGGGTGGGTGGGGGGCGCTCTCAGGTGATCTCAGCTCCCGTCCTCCTACCACAGGTGTGCGCGTCTCTCTCTCTCCTCCCTCCCTCCTCCTGCACTCGTATCGTCCCCCGCATCATCGCCAACCTCTCCCTCCAAACGCATCTTGCAGCAGCGACAACATAATAAACCACGCGCGCACGGCTATGGCCGGCCGCCTGAAAGCGTGGTTCTGGAGCGAGAGCTTCTGGCTGCCGCACAACGTGAGCTGGGAGGACCTTCGCAACAGCGAGGCGGTCACCTTCCCGCAGGCGAGCGACCTTTACCTGGCATTCCCGCTAGCGCTGGCTATCTTCGTGGTCCGACAGCTGTTTGAGAGGTGAGCAAAAACAAAACAGGAGAGGAGAGAGGGTCTCTAGCCACAGTCGCGCTGTGGTTTTAATGATAATGATCGGTTGGGGCACCGCTTAACGGCAACCCGACAGTTAAATATCCTCCGCCGATGTCCACCCAGCAGTATAATATATTCGGGATGTAAAATAATATAATGACCGGTAACCGAAATAATAATAAAAAAACACATTCGGTTAACGGGTTTGCTCCGCATATAGAAATGTCTTGGAGCAATAAACGAAAACACTTTTGCAACCTTTGTTTTTACTGAGAAAAAAAAATGCAGGGAACAAGCGAATGTGTGTGTCCACTGGATTTGCAATCCAGAGGTCGCCAGTTGGATTCCATCTCTTGAAAACAAAGTGGGCCAAGTTTGTGTTTGTTTAATCCCTGTGGTGTGATGGTGGTGGGGTACAACGTGGGTATTCACACACCTGCAGTGATGTCAGTTCAGTATTTTACAAGTGGGAAAGAGTAGGACAAATATACCCTGTACGGGGGCTATCCAGAACTCGCGCCAGCACGACTGAACCTTCACGTTTTACGAACGAAAGATAATGGGATACACGAACAAAGAGCTTACCCCGCGTGTAGCCTTTTACAGCAGGCGATGGGAGACGAAGTGGCGTTAGCGAGCACCTGGTTAGGACCATGCACATTTGTGTCTTCAGTGCTGATGTTTACACACTGAACCAGGTACATTACTCATGTTGAGGCTTGAGCTCAGGGGAGGTCCAGGACCGGCTCCAATATATATCGCCTTTGACGACACTCGCCACTGATGACAGCTGTGAGTGGGAATCGAACCTCGTGCCCGCCGAGTTCGTCAGAGCGGTGTGCTAACAATTGTGCCACCGCTTCACACGCACACTTATAACCCGATACACTTTCTCCTGCAAACACTACAGTAATGTGTATCGAGTTTCGCCTTCATAATTAATTACCCCGTCAGACGACAGGGACAGCACAAGCCGACACTATGAAATAATAATTATCCCAAACCGGCCCCCCACCCTTAAACTACTTGCGGGCCATGGACATTGTGGGGTTGTTTGCATAAGGTGGACGCTGCTTGGTTTTGTTGGGGCAAATTCCTTCATGACCGACTGCCTCTCTTGTCTATATAAATACCGGACTGTAATTCTGCTCGCTGTTTCTGGAAAGCGTTTTGAGATGCGGTAACATTTGTACTTTTTAAATGAATATATATAAACTCCACACGGCTTGCTGCCTTCCAAAATAAATTGTCCCACTTTTCTGTACGATGTCTTGAGAGATGGCATCGAATTTAGACAATCTATAAATACAAATTATATTGCATTTTCGCCAATCAGCCATCGAACGAGATGATGATTGCTTGGTTTTTCACAGCCCTTTGTAAATGAACTGCTGGACGAAGACCTCTCCACTGTCGTCTTGACGGGTTTTTCTTTGTATACCCAAGACCGATCCACTACCCTCGGCACATCCCCAATGCACCTGGCACACCTCCACCGTCGCAAATTGCTGTTCAAATAGGGCCGGAGGGAATCCACCTTTTGCCGCTTTTACACATCTCAAACGTGGTAGCTCGCCTCCCGACCCACTGTACTGTTCTCTTGTTTTGTGTACACACTGAATAGCTTTTTTTTTTTTCAAACCCCCGATCCCGAGCCTTGGGGAACAAGAAACAACCCCAATGCTTTATTTCTACTCTAAATGACTTTGCCTTAGCTCAATTAAACCGGACAAGTCCAGTTTGTAAAAAAATAAACCCTAAATTGCTACGTGTAGTTTACAACCAGTATGACTGTTGGGGCAGGTGCAGTTTGCTACCACTTAGGGGGTTATTATGACCAAAACGACATACAGTACTCACCACTGATATTAGCCGTGGATGGCTTTGCAAACCACCGTGCCACCGCATACTCATGCACAACAAACCAGACTAACGTATTCTTTACTCCAATCATCAAAATGCTGAATATCTTCAAAATGGTTAATCAAATGCTGAATATTTTTTTTCTCCAAATTTTGAGGGCACAATTCGAGAGAAAACAGTGGAAATGTCTCGGAGGGACACAACTAAAGAACTTAACTGAGGATGTAAGGCTAGAAAAAAATCGGCAAATATGCCTCCTTAACGTATCTGACCTTCGCCATAAAAAAAAAAATCATATCCCATCAGCCACACGACCTTTTTTGAGTGCATAAATTCAGCAGCATTACGTCAACACAAGCCAATTCTGGACCAGTTTTGACAATTCAGTATTATGAGCAATCGGGCTTCAACCAAATGGTGGCGAACTGGCAAATGTGACTATTTTTACATACTCTTTGGGTCTTTAGTGAAAGTCACGTAGATAGAAAAATATTTGTAAAAAAATTACGACGTTTCGATCGCAACACATGCTATTGTCTTAAGGTGAAAAAATACAGCAGGCGAACTGCTCAGGCAGGAGAAAAAATATTTATCCTGCAGTTCGCCTGCTGTATTTTTTCACCTGAAAACGATTGCTTGTGTTGCGATCGAAACGTCGTAATTTTTATTTTTCTACCTGCGTGACTTTACCGAAAGACCCAAAGAGTGATTTCCTGCAGTCACGAAAGCTTTAAGCCAATATTTATTTCTACATTATATAATGATTAACGATACATATCTAGGTTTGTGTATGGCTAGGTTAGATTAGATCAACTGGAACAAAAATATATGAAATAAAGATGTTATGTATTCTTAGCTCTTTCGGTAAAGTCACGTTAAAGGGAAACAATAAGCCATCTGGCTACCATGAGAGATTCGTTCATGAGGCTATCCACATAAACAAGCACAGAGACAATTTCAACCGAGAAGATGGATTCTGGCTTAGCAATCATTGGAAGGATTTGATAAACCATTTCAGGTCTTAATTGATTGTTCACGCTTACGGTGGCTTTCAGACAGCATACATTAATTTTTCGTCTCCTCCCTCCTCTTTTCAGAACATAGATGGACTAGTCCTTCTAAATAAACTGCCAAATCGCTGCGCGTGGCGGTAACGTTTTTAAAAAGTAAATAAATACACCGTTTGAAAATAAATAAATTAATGCAAACCGACACGCCTGATGACGACCGTTTGTGTTATGGTCGAAACGTCGTGAGAATTTTTATTTTTTTATTGTTTTATATTTATTTTATTGTTTCCCTTTAACGTGACTTTACCGAAAGAGCTAAGAATATGAATTACTGCAGTCACGAAAGCTTTAAATCAAAATTTAAGGATGTTATGCTTTTTATAATGAAAAGCAGCATACGAATGTGCCTAAAGTAGAGTGGCTTAATTCGAATATATTCCTTGCAATAAAATGGTTTCCAAACACTTACATTAACGGATAATTATGGAAAGTCTCAAAAGTGTGCATAGAGCAATGGAAAGAGAGGCATGCTTAGAATTACTTAGAGAGAAGAGAAAGACATTGACTATTCACAAGAGTGGACTTCATCAGGACACGAATGGCTTGTGGTCGACACTAACAACAAATGTTTTGTCCTTCCCCGCCCGCACCTCCGATTAGCACGGTTGGCTACGTACGGTGCGAAAGAAGTTAAATGTCCAACAGAGTTAGCAGCTGCGGGACAGAACGCGCCCGAGAATGTCTGCCCGCGGAGTTCGGTCAATGAAACAGGCTCGTGTGCACGTTTAATTGCAGGATCGTGAGAGAAAGAGTGGGGGGGGGGGGGCTTGGGGAGGCCTTCATCCGCAAATGAATAACCTGGATGGATACATTGTAGTGGTACTGTAGTTCACGTAAACGGTGCAGTCGGCACACATGCATGCAACCATCATGAGATGTTTTCACAGGTTTCTCCGCGTTTTCCATTTAAATTATGCAGTAAACTATATATAGTATTGTCTCTACAGATCTGAGGCAAGAAAAACAACAATATTTATGCACCACTGTCCCTGTAGGTTTATATATATATAAAAAAAACTGTCTTGGGCACTACTGTATTGTCCCTAACCATAATCTTAAACTGCAATCCTAAACCCTACACGAAAACTAGAGAAGTGGCATCACTTAATATTTTATCAACTGAAATCTAAAGAAGCAGGACTTGGAAAGGGTCATTAATGGGTAAGTGGCAACTCAAGGTAGGTCTTTGTACTTAAATCTGGGATGTGTTTAGATTAAAATGTGAGGACATCATTGTTTGAGACTCAATGTCGTTACTCCCTTAACCATTTTGTCTGAGCCGTAGCCTTCCCCCATTTCACGGATTGCTTTGTTGTTAGTTTTCATGTTGAGCATACGCTTCTATCTGTATTAGGCTTCCCGACTATAGTACGTATAGTTTATCTGCAGCGCAGAAATCAAAACCATCTCCTGTTGTGTATTATTGGGGCTCTAGTATCATACTGCCAAACACATTTGATGGCTAAGACAACCCTGTACAACCATAGGTCATCGGGCCATTTGGTGCGCACTGCTGACCCGGAAATTTGGAAAATGCTGACTCCGTATGTTCTCGGACCAAAAATAATTTTAGCAGCAATTATAAGCAATGGGTGATGGTTACTGACTATTGATGAAACAATCCATGCTGCTGCCCTACCGGCTTTGAACGGGGAGTGGCTCTGTAGACTCCCTAAAGACACCCACCCACATGCCCACCAAGTATGTATGAGCGGCTTGATTTTCTGGTTTTGCTGCGTTTTGTGACGCTGCGTCAAGGCATTAACGTAGGATAGATAGTGGCTGCTCAAGTTCAGCGAACATCGTCAGTAGCCAGTACATACTGGAGTGTAATTTCAAGCTGGTATTTAAGTCGGTGTTTAGAGAGCGACAGGCCTCCAAATATTGAATTGAAAGGTTAAAGTCCTCGGCAGGGTTTATTGGCTCCAATTTCCCCTCTTGCTTTAGTTAAATAAACACTGCCTATTGGACATGGAACAATTCACCCCAGCAGTATTTTATGTTATGAATCGTAAATTAATATTCATACGCATGATTGAGCGTAATTATTTCATT